AGGCAATGAAACCAAGGCCCAGAGAGGTGAAATGACTTGGCTAATGTCACAGCAAGCGATAAAACTGAGGATCCGAATGTTCTATCTTTCAAACCCGCAATGAATCATAAAGGCCACTTCCGTGATTGTGGAAGATCAGCAGAAGGAATCTGGTTATCTCCAGCAATTCAGCTCAGCAGCTCACATTCATACCTCACCCACAAAGAACACAGAATCCACAACAGCAAATCGTTGCAGGAAGCAGGGTTTAGGCCCGTTACAGCTGCCAAGAGAGGATGTGGAGAGAGATGAAGGGACAAAGCAACCCTACCAGGGAAATGCCTTCCCAGGAACGGGTGTGATGAAAAGGCAGCCACTGGAGTTGAGGTATTTATAGCCACACAACAAAGGGATGACTTCAGGGCCACCTCCAGAGCTGGGAGAAAAGGCATTTCACAGATGCCCAGAAGATCAAGAGCCCAGGTCTCGCAGTGTGCCTGGCACACTGCATGGCTTCATCTGACAAGAGAATGCCTTCTGCCCAGATGCCCTGCAGATAATGCAATGCCATTTTGATCAGGAAAAAAAAAAAGAGGCACAGGGAAGGAGAATCAGAAAAATTAATTACAAAAATCACCAGGCAGAGTGGCTCACGCCTGTAATCCCTGCACTTTGGGAGGCTGAGGCAGACGGATCACCTGAGGTCAGAAGTTTGAGACCAGCCTGGCCAACATGGTGAAACTCCGTCTCTACCAAAAATACAAAAAGTAGCTGGGTATGGTGGCGCACGACTGTAGTCCCAGCTACGTGGGATGCTGAGGAAGGAGACTGAACCCAGGACTCGAAGGCTGCAGTGAGTTGAGATTGTGCCACTGTACTCCAGCCTGGGTGACAGAATGAGACTCCATTTCAAAAAAAAAAAAAGAGAGAAAGATAAAAAAGGCCAGGCGCGGTGGCTTATACCTGTAATCCCAGGACTTTGGGAGGCTGAGGTGGGTGGATCACCTGAGGTTGGGAGTTCAAGACCAGCCTAACCAACATGGAGAAACCCCATCCCTACTAAAATACAAAAAATTAGCCCTGCACGGTGGTGCGTGCCTGTAATCCCAGCTACTGGGGAGGCTGAGGCAGGAGGATTGCTTGAACCCAGGAGGTGGAGGTTGCGGTAGCCGAGATCGTGCCACTTACTCCAGCCTGGGCAACGAGAGCAAAACTCTCTCTCAAAAAAAGAAGAAAAAGAAAAAGAAAAAAGTTAATTACAAAAGTATATTGAAATAAGTCTTTATTTAGGACTCAGAGAGTCTCACTGGATGCACGAAGTAACTTTGAGAGACAATACTAAACAGTTCCTAATCTCTTTGGGAAGTGGGGATCAAACAGACTCCCTGCCTCGGTCCAGTCACACACTGAGAGATGATGATCTGCTCCTGCGGTTTCCTGGCAGCTGAGCAGGACAGCCGGGTCACAGGAAGGTGATTTTGGAACCAGGGAACTCCTGGCCCCAGAGGCCTCCTGTGGCCTCAGCACTGGCACTGGGCTGAGGGTTGGCTGCTCCAGGGCTCACCTCAGGCCAGTTCTGAACCAGGATCAAACCCCAGAATCTCAACCACAGGAGTGTGCCCGCCACAGCCTGGCCTTTACTTCCACTGGGGCCTCCTGGAAGCTGCGCTGACTATCCAGAAAACATTGTTTTTAGTCTGTTGAGATTCTCTTCCCCCAAGGCTGGCCAAGCAGCAGGGCTCAGTCCTCTACAGCCCAAAGGCTTTAGCTTCTCTTAAATGGGGAAAGCAGAGGAGAGGGGAATTTCCTCAACATCTGAGAGAAGGATAAAAACGCATGGCCATTCCAGGGTCACACACCACCTGAATAAAGCAGGCATCGTCTGGGGCGTAACGTTTCAAACCTAATGAAAACACTCAGTTGTTTATAAACCCGGAGGCCTCCTCAGGGAAAGGGTCCTGATTCTCTAAGGTTTACTCCTTCCCCAGTCTGCGATGGAAATGATCATTTCTTCCTCACAAGAATGTTGGAAAGGTTATATGGGTTTACAGACCTGATAAAGCACTACAGACATGGAGTGACACTTCCACTCTGGGACCACATTGCGACGGACTGCCTCTTTATCCGTGACTACATGGGATTCTAGTAACATGCCAGTATCTCTTGAGCTGGACATTGTTTTGCTGTTAAGGGGTCTGTGGCCAGAGGGAAGCAGGTGGACTGTGACATAAGCAGAAATATTTGGTCTCTACCCACTTCGTGGCACACAGGTCCTAAAGCCCCAGAATCTCTGAAGTGCTGGGCGTTTCTCTGTATGCTAACGGCATGAGTGGTGGCTGGGGATTCTTGGACAGCCTCAGAATGGGGGCTGGTTGCCAGGGGAACCAGCCATGGGACTAAGGGAAGGGCTGAAGCAGCCTTCAACTGGCAATCACCAATGGGCAACCAGTCAATCAACTGCACCAGAAAGAACAGGGCTCAGAGAGCTTTGGGGCTGCTGACCATGTGTGGGTGCTGGCACGTCCTGTCCCTCACACCTGTCCTGTGTACCTTCCCACTGGCTCATCTGTATCCTTTTTTTTTTTGAGACAGGGTCTCACTGTCCACCCAGACTGGAGTGCAGTGGCACCATCTGCAGCCTTGACTTCCCAGGCTCCAGCAGTCCTCCCATGTGAGCCTCCCAAGTAGTTGGGACTACAGGCATACACCACCACATCCAGCTAATTTTTGCATTTTTGGTGGAGAAGGAGTTTCACCATGTTGCCCAGGCTGGTCTTGAACTCCTGACCTCAAGCAATCTGCCCACCTTTGCCTCCCAAAATGCTGGGATTACAGGCCCGAGCCACCATGTCTGGCCCATCTGTATCCTTTTAAAAACCTGTAATAAACTAGTGACTGTAAGCAGGTGTTTCTGAGTTCTCAACGCCATATTCCTAATGACTCAACCCAAAAGAACAGGCGTGGGAACCTCTGATGCACACCCAGTTACTGAGCAGCACAGGTGAAAACCTGGAACCGCGGCTGGAGTCTGTGCTGGGGACAGTCTTGTGGAACTGAGCCCTTAACCTGCGGAGTGTGCACTCAGAGCGGTCACGTCGGAGAGAGCTGCTCTCAGGATTGGCTGGTGTGGGGAAAACCCCTCCACGTCTGGTGCGGGAAGGGCAGAGCTCTGCAAGTCCGGAGTGTTGGGAATGAGAGGACGGAAGGAAACAGGCTTCCCTGCTCTACACGGAGGATGTGGGCGCGTCACAGAAGGAAGCCTGGGCTTTATGTAGTTATTGTTAAAGCCGGAGGTTGAGCACATGGGGGAATCTTCACATATTCTCTTCAGTTATCTAAGTTTGAGATTTTTCAAACTATAAAGAAGGGAGGGAAAGTGTAGTATTATGAAAAAGAGAAACCTGAGACGAGCTCATAGATTCAAAAATGTGATTGCTGAAATGAAAATGGAAGAGTTAGAAAAGTAAGTACATTTCACAGGGAGAAAAAAAAAAAGACTTTAAAGAGACAAAACAGAGGATCCCTGAAGGGGCCAACTTGCAACCAACAGGCATCCCAGAACGAGACAAGGAAAAAGGGGAAGATGTGATTAAGGAAACAGTACAGAGGAATTTCTTTCTTAAGAGCCTCAGCCAGACATGGTGGCTCATGCCTGTAATCCCAGCACTTTGGGAGGCGGAGGCGGGTGGATCCCGAGGTCAGGAGATCAAGACCATCCTGGCCATGGTGAAACCCTATCTCTACTAAAACACAAAAAATTAGCCAGGCATGGTGGCACGCACCTGTAGTCCCAGCTTCTCAGGAGGCTGAAGCAGGGGAATCGCTTGAACCCGGGAGATGAAGGTGGCAGTGAGCCAAGATCATGCCACTACATTCTAGCCTGACACTAGAGCAATACTGTGTCTCCCAAAAAAAAAAAAAAAAAAGCGTAAGCCTCTAGAAGGAAGAGATCTATCTGAAGGACTTGAGCAACAGGCTGCGCTGGGACAGCCATTGTGTAATTTTAGATGAATTGAGAACAGATATAACGGGGTGCTATGGCTCACGCTTGGATTCTCAGCACTGAGGAGCCCAAGGAGGGAGGATCACTTGAGCCTAGGAGTTCCAGACCAGCCTGGGCAACATGGTGAGACCCCATTGCAACAACAAACAAAAAATTAGCTGGGCATAGTGGCACGTGCCTATGGTCCCAGCTGCTCAGGAGGCTGGGGCAGGAAAATTGCTTGAGCCTGGGAGGTTGAGGCTGCAGTGAGCTCTGATCACACCACTGTACCACAGCCTGGGTGACAGAGCAAGACTGTGTCTCAAAAATAAATAAAAACAAAGTGGAACACAAGAGATACTCTCTTTAGCTATATGAAGCCAAGAACATCGGTACTGAATGTATTAGTTTTGTTACAATAATCTAATAGAGGATCTACAAGTAGTAATGAGAGAGGAAAGAGGCTCAATTATAGCAGAAAGTCAACAGATAAATGTCCGAAATATAAATCAAGAAATGGCAATAGAAGCACAGCAGCCCCGTGGAAGACTCTCCAGAAGAAAGTGAAGTTCGAATCGGGTTCCCCTGTGTATACGCAGGGTCTGACTCCGGCTCTATCACTTAGGAGTTCTGCAGCGTTGGCAATTACATAGCTGCTTCATGCCTAATTCATCAACTGTAAAATGGAGATTGTACCGACATTACGCAGATCTTACTTTAAAAACATTAACACATGCAAAGCATGTAGAATACCTGGCATTTAAAATATGATTAATAAGAAATGTTGAACCAAAACTACTAAAAAACACTAGGAAGAATGTAATCAATGGTAGGCAACCTAGCAGAAAATGTTATGATAAACAAGAGCAGAAGAATGGAAGCCACGCCTAGGTGAGCCGACGGCGTCAGGGGCCAACTCACCCCGTGCCCTTGGTCCTGCCGCGTAACCCAAGACTCCCTCAGGTTCTGCCCACCCCTCATGGAGCTTTCCCTGTCGCTCCTGGTACACGGGGACAAGCCCTGGACTCCTGACTCTGGCCCCTGCCCACCCACCCGTGTTAGCAGGTGGCTGACACGCCGCTAAAGCTGCTCTCCTCCACAATCAACAGCTTTGGTCAGGGCACCTTCAGACCCTCAGGCACTACAGTCACGCTGCCTCAGGTAAGCTCTGCTTTGTCTTGAGAATTCGTCACAGAGCGCGCCCTCCTGTCAGCTCCAGATGGGAGGCCGCACCCTCCTGCCGTCCCTCTGCTCCTGCCAGTAGGTTCACCTCCAGGCTGCCTAGGAGTTACAGACCCCTCATTCAGACACCTGCCGCCTGATGGACCTGCCCCTTCAGCCTCTCAGAGCAGGTCAGCTGTGGCTAGGTCTTCCCCTCCCCTGATGCCCTACAAAATGCCATCCACATTCTGAGGAGGCCCCAAATGAAGGGACAATAACAGGACCTCTCACAACTCCCTCCCTGTACCCTTGGGCCCATTCCCCAGGCCTGGCTCAGCAAAGCCTCTCTCTGATCAGGGGCCCTCGCCCACAGCCCACTCTAGAACACTCTGTGATTTAATGGACTTGTGTTGCTGTCCCTGTTTAGACCCCCAGTCCCTGCAGGGCAGAACTGTAGAAGTGGTACTGGACCCCTCTCCATGTGCCACACAGCATCCAGAGTGCCCAGTAACAGTTGGCTCCCCACAGGGAAGGTGGAAGGAGACAGTGATGAAGGCAGGCTACATGGGGCAGGGCAGGACATGGCTTTCCCCTGTTCAGAACGCTGTTTCCTCTGGCAGCCCACTCCTTGCATTTGGTATGTTTGGGACCAGCAGGCAACAAACTCGTTGTCTGCTCTTGAACCGGTTTCTCCCGCTGCTCCCTTTCCTCGGGGGGTGTTTTTTGATGTTAAGCACGGGACGTAGTAATTCATCGGGGCTGGATGCCTTGGGAATGGAAGCTGCTGCCTCTGCCTTGAAGGTCTGCAATTGCCTGATGGTAAAAAGGACCAGGAAGGTGATCTAATTTCTCCCATCACCAACCTCTCAGGGCCCTCCAGCTCTGCTTGGACACAGCCTGACAGGGACTGCACCAGCTCCGGAGATGCCCCACAGCCCTGTGGAACACAGCGGAGAAGCCTGGGACAGATGCTTCCCCAAGGCCCCAAGCAGTCAAAGTGGTCCCTTTCCACTGTGTACTCCATGGTGGGATAATTCTCGCTAGGACCTCTGACTAGTAAATCTCCCATCAGGCCAGATTCTCTCTTCCTATTGTGTTGGCTCACTGGTCCTGAGCTTTGGAAACCGCAGAACAAATTTCACCTGCTGTATGTTAACCACTTAAATGGCTGAAGATCGCTACAGAGCTCCTTTCCAGACACAGAAAGTGATCATGAGGGGGTGGTTCTCAGATACCAGCATGTCAGGGTAGAAGGACAAGACACAAACTCCCATTCACGGGGCTTTACGTACCTCCAGTCAGGCCAGAGTCCTGCCCAGGATTTTTCAAACTGGAGTTATGGTTGGGACAGGGAGAGGAGGGAGGTGTGGGGTACAGAACTCTCCATTAGGGAGGAGGCTGCAGAAAGGGATGCGTGGGCACTCCCTATGGAGGGAGAAAACAAAGTTGAGGGGAGACCGAGTCCCCAGGGCCCTCAGAGCTGCTCAGCCACTATCTGCCCAAGGACTGCCCGACTCCTCCTCCGCTCTATGAGCCGCTCCCAGGACGACTTCTGCAAGTCTTTTTTTTTTGGCCGATGTTAAAGATGGGTTTCCGTCCTTGGCAATAGCAAGGGTCTGACAGCCAGTCCCAGAGCTGGCCCGGAGGATGTTTTATGAGAGCCTGCTCTACCACTTTGGCTAGTTCACACTTAGTCCAACACTTCCTGAGCACCAATTGTGCGCCAGGCATGGCTCCAGATGCTAGAAAATACAAAGATGGGAAAGGCATGCTGTCTGCCATAGCCAGAGGCTTAGAGTACAGACGTAAGAGAACACTCATTCTACTAGAAGTGAGCTTACAAGTCAGTGGTACCTAACACTTAAGACAAAAAACAAAAGTTAAAATTGTCCTAGGCTGGGTGTGGTGGCTCACACCTGTAATCCCAGCACTTTGGAGGCTGAGGCAGGTGGATCATCTGAGGTCAGGAGTTTGAGACCAGCCTGACTTATATGGTGAAACCCCATCTCTACTAAAATACAAAAATTAGCCAGGTGTGGTGGCTCACACCTGTAGTCCCAGCTACTTGGGAGGCTGAGGCAGGAGGATTATTTGAACCTGGGAGGTGGAGGTTGCAGTGAACCGAGATCACGCCACAGCACTCTAGCCTGGGTGACAGAGGGAGACCCTGTCTCAAAAAAATGTCCTGGTTAGTGACAACTAGATTGTCAAGAAGACTGGATTTTTAGCTTCTTTAAAAAGACCAGGTTACAAATACAACATCAACAACAACAAAAACGGGGAGTGGGGAGAGCAAAGACACAAACGCTAAAACTTACCTCCACCTGGACAGCAGTGGCACGACAGCCAAGGCTACCTCAGAACACAAATGCAGTCATTGCTGATGGTAAGACCAATGCTTGAGCGGGAAACATGGGGGAACCATCTCCAGATCAGCAGCCTCCAGTCCTACAGACTGAAGAGGCTGGGAGGCAAACATGATGGAGAGGAAGCCTGCTGCCCGGCTGGGCTGCCCAAGCCCTGGTCTGGGATGGGCCCTGGCAGAGCCGGACTTGTGGGGCCATGGTCCAAAATGCCTGGCCAACAGTTACTGCCCTTCATTTTTACTGGATACTAGAAGTGGCTAAACAAGGGACATCCCTTGTTCCGAAGACCTGAGAATACGTACTCCAAAGGCCCCCGAAAGACCTGAAAGCCTGGGTTCCCAGGGCCAGCATCAGTGACAAAGGCAACATTAACCTGTGATGCTGATGGGCACATCTCAAAGTGCACAGAGCAGTTTGTGGACCACTGTGAAAATGTCTGGGATGAATAGGCCTTTTCATTGCCTCCTCCTTGAAAGCCCCGTTTGTAGGGAGACGGAGGAAGCAACAAAGGAGGTTTATCACCATGAGCCCGGTCAGCAGCTGTTTTCTTGTTCTTGTTTAACTTCTCTCAAGAGAGCAGAGTTATCGGCTAAGCAGGTGTTTCAGGCAGGTGATTTTGTTTCCATTAGTTTTATTAAATAGACCAGACTGGAGGGTTATCTCACGCACTTGGGAACCCCCATCCTGGGCCTGCCAAATAAAGAGGTGTGTGCTCGGGAGGAATGTTACATTCTGCTCCCTGTTGCTTTCAGCGTCTTCAAATCTCTAACTACAACAGGAAGCAGAATTTAAGAGCTGCAGCCCACCCCTCTACCCTGTGACATCCGGAGCTCGTCTGCTTTAGTCATGTGTTAGAGAAACAGTCAAGTTGGAGGCTTTCGAGTTCTCGGGAAAGAGCAGATGAAGAGAAGCTTGACGCGTCAAAGCCCAGCTACACCAACCATCACACTAATGACTCTGGTCATAGTCTCATGTTCCAAGCAACTGCAAGGAGAGTTCCACATAAAACATGGAAAAAAGGTTTTTTTAAAAATAAATTTAGGCTGGGCGCCGTGGCTCATGCCTGTAATCCCAACACTTTGGAAGACTAAGGTGGGCAGATCACCCGAGGTCAGGAGCTCGAGACCAGCCTGGCCAACATGGTGAAACCCCATCTGTACTAAAAACACAAAATTAGCTGGGCGTGGAGGCGCACACCTGTAATCCCAGCTACTTGGGAGGCCGAGGCAGAAGAATCGATTGAACCTGGGAGGCAGAGGTTGCAGTGAGCCGAGCTCGTACCACTGCACTCCATCCAGCCTGGGCTACAGAGTGAGACTCTGTCTCAAAAAAATAAATGAATAAATAAATGAACGTAAAGCTCAAGGCCCCTCAACCTACATTGGACTTGCAGGTCTGGGCGGACTTCCTTCTCACGGAGAAGGCAGGCCCGCAGCACGTGCATCTTGCACTGCAGCTGTGTTGTTCCCCACAGCAGGGAAAACTGTCCCAGCCCTTGCCCGGCCTCAGCTGCCGACAGCCACCACTTCCTCAGGGGCTGGGAGAGCAGCACGCATCTCCATCCTGAAGCCTGTGTGCCACCTGGCCCTTTGATTACCTTCAGCTTTATCCTACTGTAGAGCCATCGCCACACGGAGCGAACATGCGGTGACACATTTCTTTCTCTTTATCCGTGTAGTCCTTGTAATAGCTGGAGGGAGAAATACACACTTGTTAGAAGAGGTCTGTGTTTGGAGGCAGTGACATCTGGTGGCTGCAATTCTCCACTCACCTCCAGAAACACTGAAAATTCATCAGGACTCAAACTGAACTGGGAGGGATGAAGGTAAGCTGGAGAGGTGGGGAGGCAGGGAGAGCTCCCAGCGCTGGCCACAGAGCCAAGCCACTGGATAAAAGGCGGGTGACTGGAAAGGATACACAGCCACCCTGAAGGGCAGATGCCTCTGGCCATGAGGCTCCAGGCTGAGTCTTGCCAAGTGACCCCCTTACCCTCTGCAGCCTCTAACCTCTCTTGGTTTTCTCACTGAAGAATGGCCAGAACCCCAAATTTCTGTATCTAACCTGACAGGATACTTTTAAATACCAGAAAGGAAATTGCTGGCAAGTCCTAAAAGACCAGAACGGTAACCACTGGATCAAACCTAAGAGCTACTCACCTCTCAGACACCAACGCCAGGCAAGCTTTAACTAGCCATCTGGACGGAATGTTTAATACAGTAGAGAATTGATCACAGAAGAACATATACATTAAGAGTCATGGATCTATCACCAAGTGATGGAATTACAGGCGACTCCTATTTATACAGACATTTTCAAGGTTTTCTATTAACCAACACAAAACTTCCATAATGAGAAAAAATTACATTACTAAAAGACTGTGGTGCTTCGTCATGTGAGTGACAAGGAGGTGAGTCTATGGGTATGAGTCAGACCCAAAAGGTGCTTCCGGTCGCACCAGGACCTACTGGGGACTTCTCTGCACTTGGTTAGGGAGCAGTGGTTCTCAATGGAACACATGGGGCAGAGTGCACCAGAAGACTCTCTAAGTGTCACCACAGTGGCTCACGCCTATAATCCCAGCGCTTTGGGAGACCAAGGTGGGGGGAATCACCTGATGTCAGGAGTCTGAGATGAGCTGGTCAACATGGCAAAACCTGTCTTTCCTAAAAATACAAAAATTAGCCAGGCATAGTGGTACATGCCTGTAATCCCAGCTACTTGGGAGGCTGAGGCAGGAGAATTGCTTGAACCTGGGAGGTGGAGGTTGCACTGGTGCAGGGCACCACAGAGCACCTCAGAAACTCAGCTGTAGAGGGGCTGCCTCCTCATGCCCTGGGCAACACCACCAGACCGTCGCTTACCCCGGTGGGCAGCCCAGAGTCAGAACCACATCCATTTCCTCTCCTCGCACTCCTGCAAACACAGCTCACCTGGCCAGTTTCTTCAGCTCGTTATTGATGTCATGATTGAAGGGCTGCTCCTTCTGGGCTCGAACTAGAAAATCCCGGGCCTTCTGATACTCAGTGAGAAGAAGACAAGCCTGTCCCAAGGAGAGAACTTTAAAATCACAGAAAAGGCAGCATTTAGCCGGGTGCAGTGGCTCACGCCCGTAATCCCAACACTTTGGGAGGCCAAGGTGGGCGGATCAACTGAGGTCAGGAGTTTGAGACCAGCGTGGCCAACATAGCGAAACCCTGTCTCTACAAAAATACAAAAATTAGCTGGGCCTGGTGGTGCATGCTTATAATCCCAGCTAGTCGAGAGGCTGAAGCAGGAAATTTGCTTGAACCCAGGAGGTGGAGGTCGCAGCGAGCCAAATTTGTACCGCTGCACACTCCAGCCTGGGTGGCAAGAATAAAACTCCATCACACACACACACACACACACACACACACACACACACACACACGAGAAAGACAGCATTTTTGCTGTAGCTGAGTTGCGCATGGCTACCACCTTTTCCTGGGTATTTGTTCCCAGGTCACTGGCTTCCAGCTCACCTGTCCACACCTGAAGAGGGCCTTAGCATTCTTTTGGTCAATGATCAAAGCCTGCTCTCCATAGCGCAGGGCTAAGGTGGGGCGGTCTAGCTTCAGGTATGTAAAGGACAGGTTCAGGAGAATAAGAAGCTTGGCAGCCTCCGTGAGGTGCTGCTCGTCAGGGGGTGCAGATCGCCGGTGCAGAAGCAACAGGGCCTGCGGAGAGGGAAGGCAGACAGACTGTGAAGAGGAGTAACAGTCTACGTACAAAACCCCAAAGCATCCACACACACAGACTATCAGAGCTAAAAATCAGCTCTTACACGTTGCAAGACATAAGAGCAACATCCAAAGTTGGCTGATTTCTATGCTCTAGCAACGAACAACCCAAAACCGAAGTGAAGGAAACAACTCCATTTACAATAGCATCAAAAAATACAGTAAGTAGCAACAACCTGAAGTCTAGTGAAAGACTTGCACACTGAAAACTACACAACGTTGTTGAAGGAAACTCAAGATGAGCCAAATAAAACGGAACAACAACTCCTGTTCATTCACTGGAAGACTTAATATTAAAGTGGTCACATTTCCCCAACTGGTCAAAGTATTCATGCCCCTACCAAAAGTTCAACAGCCTTTTTTGTGGATACAGACAAGTTGATCAGATAATTCATACGGAGGCCGGGCGCAGTGGCTCATGCCTGTAATCCCAGCACTTTGGGAGGCTGAGGCAGGCGGATCACCTGAGATTGGGAGTTGGAGACCCAGCTGGCCAACATGGTGAAACAACCTTGTCTCCACTAAAAACACAAGAATTAGCCAGGTGGGGTGGCAGGTGCCTGTAATCCCAGCTACTTGGGAGGCTGAGGCAGGAGAATCACTTGAACCCGGGAGGCGGAGGTTGTGGTGAGCCGAGATACCACTGCACTCCAGCCTGGGCGACAGGGCAAGACCCCATCTCAAAAAAAAAAAAAGTCATATGGAAACTCGAGGGACCCTGAATAGCTAAAATACTCTCGAGGAGAAACAAAGCTGGGGAACTCGTATTTCCCAATTTCAAAACTTACTAAAAGGCAAAAGACAAAAAGAAAACTTCCTAAAGCTACAGTAGTTAAGCCAGTGCAGCACTAGTGTAAGTACAGATGTGTGGATCAGTGCAATCCAAGAGTCCAGAAACAGATTTACATATCCACAGGCAACTGATTTTCAGTAAGGGTGTCCAGACCATTCAATGAGAGAAAAGAACTGTCCTTTCAACAAACAGTGCTGGGATGAGAGGCTATCGACATGCAGAAGAATGTTTACCTTACACTAGATGCAAAAGTCAACTAAAGTAGGCAGGGTGTGGTGGTTCACACCTGTAATCCCAGCACTCTGGGAGGCAGAGGTGGGCGGATCGCCCGGGGTCAGGTGTTCAAGACCAGCCTGACCAACATGGTGAAACTCTGTCTCCACTAAAATTACAAAATCAGCCAGGTGTGGCAGTGTGCACCTGTAACCTCAGCTACCACGGAGGCTGAGGCAGGAGAATCTCTTGAACTCGGGAGGTGGAGACTGCAGTGAGCTGAGATTGTGCCATTGGATTCCAGCCTGAGCAACAAGAGCAAAACTGTCTCAAAAAAATAAATAAAAATTAAGTGTAGTCGAGCATAGCCCTAAAAGAGTTAAAACTCAGACTCTGTGCTCACTTCAGCAGCACATATACTAAAAATTGGAAAAACAGGGAGAAGATCAGCACGGCCGCTGTGCAGACATGAAAATTCATGAAGCATTTCTTACTTTTTTTAAAAAAACTATCAGACTCTTAGAAGAACACAGAGATGTCAATTTTTGTGACCCTGGATTAGAAAATGGTTTCTTAAACACAAAAAGCAAAAATAACCAAAGAATTAAGACTTGAACAAAATTTAAAACTTTTGTGTTTCAAAAGGACATTACCAAGAAAGTGAAGAGACAGCACAGAGTTCTTGCAAATCCTTTATTTGATAAGGGTCTAGTATCCAGAGCACATAAACAATATTTACTACTCAATATAAAGACAAGTGACCCAACTTCCAGATATGCATAGAATCTGAATGGGTATTTTTCCAAAGATAGACAAATAATCATTAAATCCACGTAAATACGTCCAATGTCATTAGTCATCAGGGAAATGAAAATGAAAACCACAGTGAGATCCCACTTCACACCCAGTGGGATGGCCCTAACTTTAAAAACATAAAACAAGCTTTGGTGAAGAAGGGGAGAAGTTGGAAGCTTCGCACATTACTGGTGGGAATGTGAGATGGTACAGCTGTTGTGGAAAATGGTTTGGCAGTTCCTCAACAATTCTGACAGTTCCCACACAAACCAGCAACTGTACTCCTAGGCACATACCCAAGAAAATGGAAAACATACATTCCCATGAGAACTTGTACATAGATGCGCACTGCTTCAGTCATCATAATCACATGGAAACAAGCCACATGTCATGTCCAACTGATGAAGGGACAAATAGCAGAGCTGTTTGATGGAAGAGCAGCCTTACAAAAGAACGAGGGGCCGGGCGCGGTGGCTCATGCCTGTAATCCTAGCACTTTGGGAGGTTGAGGTAGGCAGATCATCTGAGATCAGGAGTTCAAGACCAGCCTGGCCAACATGGCAAAACCCCGTCTCTGCTAAAAAATACAAAGATTAGCCAGGTGTGGTGGCGGGCACCTATAATCCCGGCTACTTGGGAGGCTGAGGAAGGAGAATTGCTAGAACCCGAGAGGTGGAGGTTGCAGTAAGCTGAGATCACGCCACTGCCCTCCAGCCTGGGCAAATACAGAGATACTCCATCTCAAAAACACAAAACATAGAATGAGGTTTGTATATGTACAACAGGGATGAACCTCGAAAACATGCTAAGTCAAAGGAGCCAGCCACAAAATGGCACATATTTGGCAATTCTACTTAAATGAAATGTCCAGAATAGGCAAATCTATAGAAACAAAAGAGAACAGGCTACCTGGAGCCAAAGAATTGCACGTTTCATTTCGGGGTGAGGAAGATGTTCCAGAATTAGATAGTGGGGAGGGCTGCACAACCTCGTGAATATACTAAAAACCACAGAATTGGACACTTTATCTTTTTTTTTTTTTTTTGAGACAGGGTTTCACCATGTTGGTCAGGCTGGTCTTGAACTCCGGACCTCAGGTGATCCACCTGCCTCAGCCTCCCAAAGTGCTGGGATTACAGGCGTGAGCCACTGCGCCTGGCAGAATTGGACACTTTAAAAGCACACATTTTATAGTATGTGAATCATATTCTCAACAACAACAAAATAGTACAACCAAAAAGTGGCCGAAGAAGGCAGAGCCTGCACTCCCTGGGACCCCGTTTGGAAGGTGCAAGGCCAGTTCTGTAATCCCAGCACTTTGGGAGGCCGAGGCGGGTGGATCACTTGAGGTCAGGAGTTTGAGATCAGCCTGATCATCCTGGCCAACATGATGAAACCCCATCTCTACTAAGAATACAAAAATTAGCTGGGCACGGTGGCATGTGCCTGTAATCCCAGCCACTTGGGAGGCTGAGGCAGGAGAATTGCTTGAACCTGGGAGGCAGAGGTTGTAGTGAGTCGAGATCATGCCAGAACACTCCAGCCTGGGCAAGAGAGAGAGGCTCTGTCTTGAGACCACCACCACAACAACACAAACAAAAGAACTGGAAGGTGTGTCGGGAGATTGGCAGCAGAAAGTCATGAGCCTGCCTTGGTCTTCCCTTCCAGCTCTAAGCTCTGGGTGTTCACTAGGCAAGTTTCCATCAACCGTCTCCACACCTTCTGAGTGGATTCAGCTCCTGTTCATGCCAGCCGGAACCTCAGGCCTGAACCTAAATGGAATTGTGGAACCTAAACGCAACTTGTCATCTGGAAACAGTCTTCTACAGGTCCTGCTTACCTGGCCATTCCCAGGAGCAATCAACATTGAAAGCAACACAGTTCTTTCCCAGTTACGCCTTGGTTTAACTTTTTTTCTCAGACCAGGAAGTTTCAAGTAATTCCATTCTTCTGTTCCCTTGATCACTTTTGTATAAAACCACATCAAGTCTAACCATTTGTTTTGTGGAAGTACTTGCAGAACTTCTATTTGCACAGTCACAGCTGCGGTAACATTCCTGGACGCTGTTGACAGGTTTAGCCGCAGCACGCCCAGCTCAATGCCCAACATGAAAGAGATCCCCATGAAAGCGAAGTCTGCCACAGTGGCATGCTCGTACATGTTTAACAGCCAGCTCTGGGGGAGGTGGAGCCCTCTCTGTAGCACTTGCCTATTCCCGTGCTGTAAATATTTCTACCAGAGCTGATTTCAAGCTTCCAAAGTGACATTAACCAGGACACACAACTCCTGAAAATTTTACAACTGACATTTTGAGTTTTCACGAGCTCCAGCACAACTACTGACTCTTCCCAAGATACGACTTTAATCAGCTCACTCTTCCTCAGTGGTTCCCTGCCATCCACTTCATCTAGTCCAAATTCATCCACACACATTTGAATGTCTTCCTGAATCTGGCCACTTCCTATTACCTGCTATTCCTTAGATATAACACGTTTCTGACCAGGAATCTACCAACTGTGCCCTGAATAGGCTCTGATCACTTCTGTACCTTTGCTCATCTTTTTTCCTGCCGACGGTTTATGGCAGAAGGGACAAGACAGCTCTCTGGGCCCTCTCTTAGAAGACCACTAACTCCATTCATGAGGGCTCCAACCTCATCACCTCCCAAAGGCCCCTTCTCCTAACACCATCACATCGATAACTAGGTTTCAACATACAAACTCTGGGTAGACACACACATTCACACCAGATACTGGTTAGCAGTTTGCGCTGCATTTTATCTCCCCAGCTAGATTCAAATCCCTTGAAAGCATGAACCCCAATACTTCTTTGTGTGATCCAGACAATGCTGAGCAAAAGGCTGGTGACACAGTGGAGCTCAATCAATGTCAGTCTGCTGCTCCGAAGACTGAGAAACGTTCCACTGGGAAAAGCCATGGAAAACCTGCGGCTCAGCAAGGCAGGCTTCACATGCATGCCTACTTTCCCCAACCCTAGGGATAAGACAGGCAGTAATCCAACATGAGCAAAGGACAGGAAAAGGACCAGTGCCAAACCCAAGGCGTCAGAGTGGGCGGACGTGTGATGACTGACTCGGCAGAGTGGTGCCACTGTAAAAGGGACTGATCTTTCCCTCAGAGGCTGGAGAGCCCTAGGAACTGGTGGAAGCAGGAGTTAGAGCTATCTGGTAGGGCTGAGTAAAGGAGTTCAGGTCAAATGTTCCCCCTACTCACTGCCCCTATGCGTCCAGATGGCCTCAGTAATCACAAGGTCTACTTTCTGGGAAAATGGAACCAGAGGCCCTTGATTTGGAGACAGACTGGAGCAGACGGCAGGAAGGTGGTATGCTGGTGACAGGGCTACTACAAAGGGAATGTCAATCGCAGTCAGTGAGAACCTCTGACCCAGAATGCTGGTGCCTCGGCATGTACACGGGGCAGAAGGAGGACTCAGTGGGCAGAGGCAGCACCTACGTACCCCGGCATGCGCACTCTCTCTCTGACCACACTGCCGCCTGCCCTGGCAAGCACTTGGCGTTTCCAATCAGCTCTGTGATGTCTCTTTCAAATCTTAGTGGTCAATGATCACCAGCCATTTGAGGAAACCCTCTGTGAAAGCAGCAGCCACCTGTCTCCCAGCAGCAGCTCTTCCTTCCTTCAGAGTAATGGGACTACATATCTTTTTGGCCAGGAACATGCACGACCGGAACATAGATACTCGCGAGCCTCTTTGCTGACCCGGGAACATGTACGACCGGAACATAGATACTCGCGAGCCTCTTTGCTGACCCGGAACATGTACGACCGGAACATAGATACTCGCGAGCCTCTTTGCTGGCCCGGAACATGCACGACCGGAACATAGATACTCGCGAGCCTCTTTGCTGGCCCGGAACATGCACGACCGGAACATAGATACTCGCGAGCCTCTTTGCTGACCCGGAACATGTACGACCGGAACATAGATACTCGCGAGCCTCTTTGCTGACCCGGAACATGTACGACCGGAACATAGATACTCGCGAGCCTCTTTGCTGACCCGGAACATGTACGACCGGAACATAGATACTCGCGAGCCTCTTTGCTGGCCCGGAACATGCACGACCGGAACATAGATACTCGCGAGCCTCTTTGCTGACCCGGAACATGTACGACCGTAACATAGATACTCGCGAGCCTCTTTGCTGGCCCGGAACATGCACGACCGGAACATAGATACTCGCGAGCCTCTTTGCTGACCCGGAACATGTACGACCGGAACATAGATACTCGCGAGCCTCTTTGCTGACCCGGAACATGTACGACCGGAACATAGATACTCGCGAGCCTCTTTGCTGGCCCGGAACATGCACGACCGGAACATAGATACTCGCGAGCCTCTTTGCTGACCCGGAACATGTACGACCGTAACATAGATACTCGCGAGCCTCTTTGCTGGCCCGGAACATGCACGACCGGAACATAGATACTTGCGAGCCTCTTTGCAGCTAGGCAAGGCCCGGAGAACAGGTTCTGGAAAACGTAACTCAGTAGAAGCATCATATGACAAGAGCCTTCCTTAACAGAGCGGTACGTGCCCCCGGCCTTTCTTCCCTTCTGCTGCTAGAACTCAGAGACCCTCATCCTGGACTACAATGCCAGAGTCCCACCCTAGAAATGAGAACTGGGTATGTGAAAACATCTGGAGCAAAGCCACCAAGCGGCCCTGGCTTGTACGCCTCTAGCCTTTCACATGAGTGAGAAACAAACCATCTTTAGGTCGTTGACAAACTTAGTGCAAAAGGACACAGACCCCGATATATAGAAAAACCAGAAAAAGAATGAGATTTAATGATAATCCACAGTCTAAAGAGATAAGATGATGTATTCATGAAACAAGGACAGAATGCTGGGGAGGAGGAGAACAAAGAGCCCCTCCATTTTCTAAAATTAATTTTTTTGTAGAGATGGGATCTTGTTATGGTGCCCAGACTGATCTTTAACTCCTGGCTTCAAGTGATCCTCCCACCTCTGACTCCCAAAGCGCTGGGATTATAGGTGTGAGCCACCACACCTGGCCCCCCATTTTTAAATGAAAAATTCACCAAAGAGGTAGCAGAAAGTCAAGGAGAGCTTCCAGACAATGAAACAAATAGGAGAAAAGATGGAAACTGGGAGGGGGCAAAAAAAAAAAAAAAAACAGCCAGAAGCTCAGTGCAGGAGGTCTGACAATAGGAGTCCCGGATAAAGAGGGCGGAGGGAACAAGAGGAACTTACCAGAGAAATAGCTCAGGAAAGCTTCTCCCAAAGTGGAGGAATAGTTTCCTGAAAAGATACACTCATGGGCTCAACAAAGATTAAAACACACACACACAAAGGCCCGTCACTGTAAAGTTTAGGGATACTGGGAGGAAAACGTCTGCGTCTCTACAGCGGAAAAACAGGTCACATTGAAAGGAATAGAAATGTAAGTGGTAATAAGTTTTTTTTTTTTTTTTTTAAGATTTTGAGATCAGAACTAAAAAGACTTCTTTTTTTTTCCCTCTCTTTCTCTCCCAGAGAGTTTCAGTCTTGTTACCTGGGCTGGAGTACAATTACATGGTCTTGGCTCACTGCGCCCTCCACCTCCTGGGTTCAAGCAATTCTCCTGCCTCAGCCTCCCGGGTAGCTGGAATTACAGACATCACCACCATGCATGGCTAACTGTTGTATTTTCAGTAGAGATGAGGTTTCACAACATTGGCCAGGCTGCTTTCAAACTCCTGATCTCAGGTGATTCACCCGCTTCGGCCTCCCAAAGTGCTGGGACAGGCATGAGCCACCACGCCTGGACAAAAGACTTCTTCACAACACCACTAGACAAATATATATTTAAATAACTAGAATATTTCAGACATACATTGACACACTCTCTTAAAACAAAGGAGTAAGCTGAGAAAAAAAAAAAACCAGGAAATCCACAAACTAGTGTTACAGGGGAGCCCCACCACAAGAGCTGCCCCAGGCGGGCCCCAGGGAGAGTCCCACCTGACGATGAACTGCGTGGTCACCTGGCAGGAAGGAGGGAGGGGAGAAGAGCCTGGTGCTTGCATTACATTAAGAGCTTTCCAGAAGGCCCTCCAGAGGTTTCCCTGTATGTCTCCTCGGCTAGACCCTTGTTACACAGACACCCTGAGCTCATGGGAAGCTGGGAAGATGTCACTTTTTAATTAGCACACTGCTGCTTTGAATGAACTGGGAGGTTCTGTCAGGAGAAGGGGGAATAGATACTGGGTGACAGGGTCAGCCACATTTGGCCTATATGAGTATGTTACAGAGAGGGCATACAGGCATTTGTGCGTGTGTGTGCGTATGGGTTTTTTTTTTTTTTTTGAGACAAAATCTTGCCCTGTCACTGAGGATGGAGTGCAGTGGTGAGATCTTGGCTCATAGCAACCCCCGCCTCCTAGGTTCAAGTGATTCTCCTGCTTCAGCCTCCCAAGTAGCTGGGATTACAGGCTCCCACCAGCATGCTGGCTAATTTTTCTATTTTTGGTAGAGACAGGATTTGCCAGGTTGGCTAGGCTGGTCTCAAACTCCTGACCTCAGGTGATCCATGGGCCTTTGCCTGGCATGAGGTTTTTTTTTTTTTTTTTTTTTTTTTTTTGCTCACCTTCAACTGTCTTGATCAAGTTATAAAAATGAGATTTTTCTTGTTCTACTATAAGGACACATGCACACGAATGTTCATTGCATTACTGTTTACAATAGCAAAGACCTGGAAATAACCCAAATGCCCATCGATGATAGACTGGACAGGGAAAATGTGGCACATATACACCATGGAATATTATGCAGCCATCAAAAACAATGAGTTCGTGTCCTTTGTAGGGACATGGATGAACCTGGAGAACATCATTCTCAGCAAACTGACACAAGAACAGAAAATGAAATACCGCATGTTCTCACTCATAGGCGGGTGATGAACAATGAGAACACGTGGACACAGGGAGGGGAGCATCACACACTGGGGCCTGTTGGGGGGAATAGGGGCGGGACAGTTGGGGGTGGGGAGTTGGGGAGAGATAGCATGGGGAGAAATACCAGATATAGGTGAAGGGGAGGAAGGCAGCAAATCACACTGCCACGTGTGTACCTATGCAACTATCTTGCATGTTCTTCACATGTACCCCAACACCTAAAATGCAATTTAAAAAATGAGATTTTTCTTAATGGCTGCTCATGAAAAATAGGGAGAGATACAAAAATCTATGTTAATTTTTAAACAAGGAAGTTTTCAGGATCTAAACCCACACTTAACTTGTAAAGCATTCTCACCCTTTTATATCTCACTTTGGCATCGTAGAAACGATTTTGGCGGAAAAGGTAGTTGCCAAACTCCCGTTCTGTAGCTGCCACTTTAAGGACCTTCTGAAGTGGAAACTGGTCTTGTTGCTCCTGAAAATCAGAGACAGAAATACTCAGCAAGGAAACCAAAAGCCCTCACGCCACAGTGGGAGTGTTAGTATGCGTGAGCCAGGAGTTCGAGACCAGCCTGGGCAGCACAGTGAGAACACGTCTCCATTAAAAAAATTTTAAAAAGTCATTGAAGAAAAGGAAGTGTTATTACAGCTGTGGGCTCTTCTCTTTCAGACTTCTGGGTTGGAGTCACCTCTGAATCCTGACAGAAGCCACACGGGCGTTATGACTGGTCCCATTTTATATGCTAGAGCCAGAAGGAAGTCTACTCTTTTTTTTTTTTTTTGAGATGGAGTTTCCCTCTTGTCTCCCAGGCTGGAGTGCAGTAGGGCAATCTCAGCTCACCACAACCTCTGCCTGCTGGGTTTCAAGCGATTCTCCTGTCTCAGCCTCCAGAGTAGCTGGGACTGTAGGCGTCTGCCACCACGTCTGGCTCATTTTTTTTTTTTTTGTATTCTTAGTAGAGACAGGTTTCACTATGTTGGAAAGTCTATTTCTTTAATCTTTCCCCAAAGGTCTCTGAGGAAGCAGATTCCCACGGAATTAAAAATGATGGAAAGTGCAGAGAAGTCAGTGCCTGAAATCACCATCTCGACACCAAGCACTGAACACGTCTTGGTTTGCTCAGGGCCCTGGTGGTCTTTATGGTCACCGTGCTCTACCCTGGCCATCTCAGAGTCACCTATAGAGCCTCTTTGGTCCCGGCCCCACCTCCACAGATCCTAAAGCAGTGCACCACAGGTGGGCCCAGGCTTGGAAGGACGGGAAAGGGTGAGCTCCCTCACTTGGAGTGCTGACAGTTTATCTGGGGAGACACCACGTGAAGATACAAAACCTGGGATGAACATCTAAGGCCACATATAGAGTCAGCGTGAGACAGCATGATAAAGACAGTGCATGTCAGAAGCCTGCACCTATGGGACGGGGTTAAATGAAGAGGCGGCAAGACTTCCGTGGTGAGGACGTGGCCACACATCCCAGTTTGCCTGGGACTGTCGCAGTTTACACCCGATGTCCTGGGTAACCAGGACAGCCCCCTTTACTCCCACCTGTGCTGGGCTGGACACTCAATTATCCAGTCACCCTAGTCATGAGCTACCAATGCCTGCCTTACTGGAAACCAAACAATGACGAAAAGCAAATGTTCACTGTCTCACAGGGAGAATCAGTTCAAAACACTCATCCTTAAACTCACAGCCTTACCTTGCCCGAGCACATTCATCTACACCAGAGCCATTAATGAGACAAACACAGACTAGGAAGCAGAGGATCTCCATTGCCACCACCGTGCAGGAGCTGCGGGGGACCCTAGGGCAGGCCATCTAGAAGAATGACCAAGAACACCAGCCCACTGGCCTCTTTCTAAAGTGCTGACATCTGTGCTCCGGAACTTACAGCTGAGAGAGCACAAAACTTGTCCGACTCAGCAGAGTCTAGGAAGTCAAGCAGCTCAATCTCGAACAGGACGGTGGTGTCTGGGGGGATCAAGGGAGGGCAGCCCAGTGTTCCATAGGCATAGGTTGGTTTGAAGAGAAACCTGGCCAGCTCTCCTCTCCGCATGCTCAGAAGGCCCAGCTCCATGCCCCACAGAGTAATATCTGTAAGAAGGGACAAAGACAGTAGCTGGAGCTTGCTCAGTATCCTGCTCAATGCTATCACTTCTTCCCCCTGTAAGTCAGCAGTACTCTGGCCTCCATGTCTCTCTCACACAGTCCCCTCTTCCTGCAATGTCTTCCTCCTCAGCCTGTGCTCAGCTCCTACTCACAGACATTTTATTCAAACTTCAGGGCTGAGCTCAAATGCCCCTATTGCAGGAAGCCTTCCCTGAACCTCCCAGCTGGAATTGATCATGCCTTCATTAAGCACACTCAACACTGCTATCACCTCCCAGGCACTATCCAGTTCTACTAAGAGAGCCAAGTATAGGCCAGTCTCCTCCACCACACTGTGAAGTCCTTAAGAGTAGAGATGTTCTAACCTCCCAAGTACATCCTATCTTTTCGCCATGCATTGTGGGAAGTAAGCATTCGGTCGATTTTTACTTAATAAATGAAGAAACCTTCCCAATGGTTAAAGTCAGAATGCAAAGATACCTTCCCTGTGAAGCCGTCTCTCAAATACCCAGGTCTCAAGGGGAGAGAACGTGGCTGTTTTACCAAAACCCAGCCTCAGCAAAGCCAACTCAAATAACCTATGCTCTGATCAGTCTTCCCAGCCTGAAGCATCGTGCCTCATCTCGCCCCTAAGCAGTCCCTTCTTGTCCAGGTCCCACATTGAATTTACCCTCTCCAAGTTTCATTAGCTTAGGAGTTCTCCTATGGCAATTAGAATCAAAGGGTCTGTCCATGTGTTCCAGGTATCCAGAATATTTTACTAGAATAGAAAAAAGAATGTAAGCAAAATGGACCCAAAACACCCACACCTCCATAATGCCTTCTCTCATTATCACACAGAAACAATGCGATCAGATAAGCTTAAGCTGCCTGACACCCCAAGGTACAGGAATAAATCTTTCTGCATTTTCGGTGTCTACCCTTTGGCTCAGGGGTTCGAGAGCTTGAGGGAGGCATCATGCAGAGGGACATAGAGGTCCCTGGCTTTCCTCAAAAAAAAAAAAAAAAAAAATTCAGGCCGGAAGTAGCGGCTCACGCCTAGTAATCCCAGCCTCCAGGGAGGCTGAGGTGGGAGGATCGCTTGGGTCCAGGAGTTTGAGACTAGTCTGGGCAACATAGGGAGTCCCCCATCTCTACAAAAATATTAAAAATTAGTGGGGCATGGTGCATCGCGCCTGTAAAACCCTTACTTGCGAGGCTGAGGTTGGAGGATCGCTTGAGCCCCGGAGATGGAGGCTGCAGTGAGCTACGATCGCACCACCGCTCTCCAGCCTGGACAACCGAGCAAGACCCCGTCTCAAAAACAAAACACAAAAATCCACTGCAAACAAAGTATTTTCAATGCATTAAAATGGCATTTTTGAAAAGGTGATCTCTCTGGCCCCAACAGAGTGTGATAACATGGATCCTGCCGACAAACCGCCCCAGGGCATACCTAGCACGGTAGCGTCTGGCGCCACTAGGTCACCAGCTCCCTCACGGATGACATCCTTCAGCACGCCCCGGTCCCCGGAAATGTCCAGCATCCTCTGACTCAACCGTTCGTAGGGGGACTAGTGGAGAATGAAAGCCAGGCCTCAGAACCACGGACCAACCCGGCCACCCCTCGGTGTCGACGCCCCAAAGCGCTGGGGCCCTCACCTGGCCGGGGGCGTCGTCACCTTCCAGGACTCCCTGGTTTAAGGCGCTTCCCCCCATGTCCTTGCTGCCCTCCCTGTGGCGTAAGCCTTCAGACTGGTATGCCCCACTGCCCACCCTGGCTGTGACTCTGTTGGCGGGGTGGGGGGGGCGGTCACGAAGGCCCTTTTATACCCTGCAGACCCCTCCTGACGGCGGCATTCCATTCCGGGTCCACGAGAACGCACTCATCGCTCCGTTCCAACCGCCACCAACGGTCCTGGCGGAACTACAGAAGCTGCGCGGTAGGGCGTGAGGTCGGGCCTGTAATGCGAGCATATGGGACTTGATGGAGCACGTGAGGGGGCGCGAGGCGGGGCACGTAACGGGACCACGCAGGGCACGTTGGGCACGTGCAGGGGAGTGAGGTGGGGCACGTAATGGGAGCACGCGGAGCATGATGGGGCACGTAACGGGAGCGCGCAGGGCATGATGGGGCAAGTGCGTGGGGCATTAAGTGGGATACGTAATTGGAGCGCGGGGCATGATGGGGCATCTAACTGGAGCCTGCAAAGCATGATTGGGCACGTCCATGGGGCACGTAATTGGAGGGGCACGTAGTTGGAGCCCGGGGCATGATGTGGCACCTAACGAGCACGGAGGGCATGATGGGGCACGTGCAGGGGCGCGAGACTGGGTACGTAACGGGAGCGCGTGGGGCATGATGGGCACTTAAGGAACATGCAGAGCATAATGGGGCACGGAAGCGAGGGGGGGCATGGAGCGCGTGGAGCATGGTGGGCACATGACGAGGCGGGCAGGGCAAAGAGAAGCACTTTTGGAACATGTGCCGCCCTTGAAGGAGCCCGCGGAGTGGCTGCGTGGTGGGGCACGTGGGGCAACTTCAGGAAAAAGGATGCATGTGGTGAGGACACAAGAGGCACCTGCCACCAGCAGGGTTCAGGCCTCCCAGCGGTGAGTTACATCCACCTTTCTCCACTTTCTCTCTTCCATTAACACGATGGAAATTTAGGCCCAGACAAGACATTGATTGATTGATTGACAGAGGCTTGCTCTGTGGCCAGGCTGGAGTGCAATGAGGGATCTCACCTCACTGCAGCCTCCACCTTCTGGATTCAAGAGATCCTCCTGCCTCAGCCTCCCGAGTAGCTGGGATTACAGGAGTGCACCATCAGGCCCAGCTAATTTATGTTTTAATTTTTTTGTTTTGGAAAGATGGTTTGTGGCTTTGTTGCCTAGGCTGGTCTTGAACTCCTGGCTTCAAGTGGTCCTCTGGTCTTGTACTCCCAAAGTTCTGGGATTACAGCTGTAGGCTACAGCCAGCTTTCCGGACTGCTCCATTGGGGGTTAAGTTTCCAACACATGAAATGAGGAGGATACATTCAAACCATAGCAGTATATTATGACCATAATATTCGTTAACTGTTTAATAGGCTGGGCGCAGTCAGGCACAGTGGCTCACACCTGTAATCCCAGCCCTTTGGGAGGCCGAGGCGGGTGGATTGCTTGAGATCAGGAGTTTGAGACTGTCCTGGCTAACATGATGAAAGCCCATCTCTACTAAAAATACAAAAAATTAGCTGGGCGTGGTGGCAGGTGCTTGTAATCCCAGCTGCTTGGAAGGCTGAGGCAGGAGAATCACTTGAACCCGGGAGGCGGAGGTTGCAGTGAGCCAAGATTGTGCCACTGCACTCCTGGGTAACAAGAGCCTAACTCTGTCTCAAAAAAACAAAGAAAACCTGTATAACAGAGTGTCATTGAATTTCTAAACATTGAAAGACTTCACTTTTTTTTTTGAAAAGCTCACTATTATTAAGTGAAAGAAACCAGACACAAAATAGTACAGCTTACATGATGCTGTTTACGTGAAATTCAAAAACAGGCCACATGACAACATGGTAATAAGGACAGTTGCTGTCCTCATTAGGAGTTAGGACTGGGAGGAGGCTGGAGGGAGCTTTCTGGAAACACTCTACAGCTTGCTTTTGAGGTGCATGTACAAACATCAAGTATTTATCAAGCTGTGTGGTGAAGATTTGCACACTTGTATATGTTATACCTTGATTTAAAAAATCTAAGTATACTTTCAAACCTCTTAAAAAAGAAAAAAAAAAGAGGCCAGGCTCGGTGGCTCACACCTGTAATCCCAGCACTTTGGGAGGCTGAGGCGGGAGGATTGCTTGAGGCCAGGAATTCAAAACCAGCCAGACAACAAAGCAAGACAGACCCCTGTCTCTACTAAAATAAATTTAAAAATAGAAAAATTTAAATGTAGAGATGGAACCATCATCTGCCAGTTTGTATTAGAAAAAAGAGAGAGGGGGAAGGCTCATGCCTGTAATCCCAGCACTTTGGGAGGCCAAGGTAGGAGGATTGCTTGAGCCCAGAAGTTGGAGACCAGCTTGGGCAACAAAGTGAGACTGGCTATCTATGAAAAAATTTTTTTTAAATTAGCTTGGCATAGTGGCATGCACCTGTAGTCCCAGCTACTCAGGCAGCTGAGAGGGGGGAATGTTTTGAGCCAGGAAGTCGGAGGCGGCAGTGAGCTGTGATCACCCCACTGCACTTGAGCCTGGGCAAAAGAGCAAGATGCTGTTTTCCCCACGTCCTACACCTCCCCACCCACCCTCCCCTCCCCAAAAAAGAAGAGTAAGAGCAAGAGTTTGAGATTCAGAAAGAACTGTTTCCCAGCACCTGTCTGCTAGAGTCAGGTTGTGAGGTGTGAACGGTGAGCCGTCCCTCTGTTTCCGCCCCTCCCCCACACTGGCCAAGGCCAGCACCTTAATGTTATCAGCAGGCCGAGTGAAGGCCGCCTCCCCAGTCCCATGATGTAACCCAGTTTCCATCTGATTCTGGTGACCTTGGGGACACAGGGGTGTTGATGGGAAAGGGGAGGAGAGAAGGGGTAGAGACCAGGCAGTGGTGCAGGCATCTAGCTGCTCTTCCACTTCTGTCTCCGGGTCTGCTGTTCTCTGCTGGGAAGAAAAAAAGGCTGAGCGATCACTTGAACCACTGGATCAGTGATGCTGGCTTGAGGTGGTAGTGGGAGGCCCAGCGGATCGTGAGGAGCCAGGTATTCCAATGTCGGGCTTCCGGGGGGTGCTGGTGCTTCTCCTGTCTCGTTGACAAGCTTTTGCAGGAAAGCAGGTAGGAGATCAGGGGAGAGACCTTGTAGGTCCCAGGCTCTCTAGAATTACCTGGGAGTGTCCCCTATAAATGTAGAGTTCTGGGTCTCCCTGGAGACCCCCTGAAGCAGATCCTTTGAAGGTGGAGCTCTGGAATCTCTATTACACCTGTGTTTTCAACTGTTTCTGGAAGATTTGGGAACTGATCTAGAAGGTTGGGGAGATTTTCTGGGTTTTGCTGTCCAGTTCTAGGTCTGGGTGCCTGCTGGGGCTGGACCCTGCATTATATGGGTCACTGCAAATGCCTCTGCAGATGGTCCTTTTCATGTTTGCCTCCAAATTTGAGTTAAAAATGTAGACACACACACACACACACACACACACACACACACACACACACACACAGTGTCTTCAAGGGACCAGTTTTTTCATTGCAGTCTTTTGTTTTACAGATGGGGTAAAGGGTCCAAGGTCATGTGGGTTAGGACTGGAATTCAGGACTGAAAGTCTTTCCTTTAAGATTCTGGTGGTCCTTGGGGTTGAGGGTGGTGGGAGAGTTCTGGACAGAGGGAGGGGAGGGGACAGGACTGAGGACAGAAGCCTGTGTTTCAGCCCGGGCAGTGTAGATGGCTTGGCAGGTGAGCCTGCCCGAGCTGGAGGACCGGCTTCAGTGTCCCATCTGCCTGGAGGTCTTCAAGGAGCCCCTGATGCTGCAGTGCGGTCACTCCTACTGCAAGAGCTGCCTGGTCTCCCTGTCCTGCCACCTGGACGCGGAGCTGCGCTGCCCCGTGTGCCGGCAGGCGGTGGATGGCAGCAGCTCCCTGCCCAACGTCTCCTTGGCTCGGGTGATCGAAGCCCTCAGGCTCCCTGGGGACCCGGAGCCCAAGGTCTGCATGCACCACCAGAACCCGCTCAGCCTCTTCTGCGAGAAGGACCAGGAGCTCATCTGCGGCCTCTGCGGTCTGCTGGGCTCCCACCAGCATCACCCAGTCACGCCCGTCTCCACTGTCTACAGCCGCATGAAGGTGGGCAGTGGCTTGGGGGATGGGGACGGCGACGGGGGCGGGGCAGCGAGGACGGCAGGGTCCGCAGGGACCATCACCTGACCATAAAAGGATCCAGCTATCCTGGATTTCCCTCCATCCCGCGCCAGTGCATTTATTCCTCAGTGTTTGAGCGGCAGCCAGGTGCCAGGGATTGAGGCCGCACGCACAGTCCCCCCCTTCCCCTCCACCTCTTCCCTTTCTCTTTCTCCTCCTTCACCTCTTTCTCTCTCTTTCTTTTCTTTCTTTTTAGAGACAGGTCTCACTCTGTTGCCCAGGCTGGAGTGCAGTGGTGCAATCATGGCTCACTGCGGCCTCCAACTCCTGGGCTCAAGCACTCCTCCACCTCAGCCTCCTGAGTAGCTGGGACTACAGGTGCACACCACCATGCCCAGCTCGTTTTTTATATTTTGTAGAAATGGGGTCTTGTTATGTTGCCCAGGCTGGTGTTGAACTCCTTTGCCTCCAATGATCCTCCTGCCTCGGCCTCCCAAAGTGCTGGAATTACAGGCATGTGCCACTGCCCTGTGCCCCTTGTTTCTGGACACTCCGCTGTTTGCACTCGGGTGCACGAGGGTGGGGACTTCATTTTGTTCCCTGGTGTGTTTCAGTGCCTGGAGCCATGCCTGGCACATTGTAAACGTCCAAAACGCTGAATCAGCGACTTCCTGGCTTTACAGGCCATTACCCCAAACCTAGCAGATCACCCTTTAAGACAAGGAATAATAATACCTGGCTGGCTGTTAAATATATAAAACACCTGTAAGCCACTCAGCCACGTGTTTTATATTTACATAATACCCAGCCAGGTATTATTATTACTTTGGGAGGCTGAGGTGGGTGGATCATTTGAGTCCAGGAGTTTGAGACCAGCCTGGGCAACACAGTGAGACCCTATCGCTACAAAAATTTCAAAATTAGTCTGGTTGGCTGGGCATGGTGGCTCATGCCTGTAATCTCAGCACTTTGGGAAGCTGAAGTGGGTAGATCATGAGATCAGTTCAAGGCCAGCCTGGCCAAGATAGTGAAACCCCATCTCTACTAAAACTACAAAAATTAGCCAGGTGTGGTGGCAGGTGCCTGTAATCCCAGCTACTAGGGAGGCTGAGGCAGAATTGCTTGAACGTGGGAGGCGGAGGTTGCAGTGAACCGAGATTGTGCAGTGAACCGAGATCTGCCGCCCGGCCTGGGCGACAGAGCGAGACTCTGTCTCTAAATACATAAATAAAAATAGGTTAGGGGCAGTGGCTCACACCTGTAATCCCAGCACTTTGGGAGGCTGAGGTGGGCAGATCACAAGGTCAAGAGTCTGACACCAGCCTGACCAACATAGTGAAACCCTGTCTCTACTAAAAATACAGAAATTAGCTGGGTGTGGTGGTGCGTGCCTGTAATCCCAGCTACTCAGGAGGCTGAGGCAGGAGAATTTCTTGAACCCGGGAGGCAGAGGTTGCAGTGAACCGAGACCACACCACTGTGCTCCAGCCCGGGCAACAGAGCGAGACGCGGTCTTATAAATAAATAAATACTAAGTTCTTCCCAAAGTTAGTTCAGCCTATGCCCAGGAATGAACGAAGACAACTGGGAGGTTCAAAGCAAGATGGAGTTGGTTAGGTCAGCTCTCCTTCACTGTCTGTTACAAATTTGCAATGGCACTTTCAAGGTCACCTAGAACATGGATCCTGCATGGTCTCAGGTGGTCAGGGATGGCTTCCTGGAGGAAGCAGGCTTGCTAAGCTGAGACCTGTGCAACAAGGACATGATAGGAAAAGCATTCCAGGCATAAAGACAGCATGTGCAGACCAGAAGGCAGACAGCGTCCTGCATTTGAGGACGCAGAAGTCGTTCCATAAGGCTGGTGTGACCCGGGAAGGGATCTGGTGTTTATTCACAGTATGAGGGGGCAGGGCAGGGGCGGGAGGGTTTTAAGCAGGTGAGGATGTGCTCAGATCCCTCTGACAGAGGGTAGCTTTGAGGGTGAGGCTGAAGGACAGAGCGTGGGATGAGGGTGCCAGGACCTAGGTAGGTGGGAACTGGGACAAAGACGAATTTTGAAAAGAAAAAACACTGGCAACTGTTTGTGGCAAGGAGGACTCAACCTCCTCCCTCTCCCTCCTTGTAATTTTCCCCTTGCACAGATGAAGTGATCGCAGGGAGGATGCGGCGTGGCCAGGTGGAGTGGGAGGTGCCTGGGGATGTGCAGGCAGGTTGAGGGGTATGCAGAGCAGGAGAGTGATGGGGCTCAGCCAGGAGGTGTGATGGGTCCTTCCTCTGCGTGGTCTCTGAAGCCCCCTTTAGTGGAGAAGACCAACCCAGGTGAGTCTGCACAGTGATAAGAGAAGACACTGATGATGACCCCAAGGGGTGCCAGGCTTAAAATCTGGATTGAGTGAGAGAGAGCCCTGAAAAGGGGATGGAAAGAATGGTCAGAGCAGGAACACTGGCTGAGCGTGGCCTGCCGGCAGTCAGAGAGGCAGAACATTGTAGGAGGAAGCCATGTGCGTGAAATGGCTTTGAGGACTGAGAAGCGTCTGTTAGAAGTTGCTGTAAGAACTGTCTTGGCAAGAGCAGGTTGAGGGTGGGTGTGGAAGACAAGCCAACTGCAGGTGAGGAAGCTGAGTTTGTGTTTTATTAGTTGATGGGAAGGAGGGAGGGAAATAGGCTGGAAGCTTGTTCATCCTTTGTGGTTAGGATCTAGCAGCCAGCTTGGGTCCCTGTTTTAGATCTGGACTTAATTTTTTTGGCGGGGAGCAGGGGTAGAGACAGGGTCTCACTTTTGTCAGGGCTGGACTCAAACTCTTGGCCTTAATTGATCCTCCCACCTTGGCCTCCCAGAGTGTTGGGATCACAGGCATGAGCCACTGCACCTGGCCAGGTTTGGGTTTTGATGATCCCAAGGCTCTTCCCTGCTGCAACACGGAATGCAGCTAAATTGCCCTCCCTCTTACCCTCTCTTAGGCCTTCCTGTTGCCTCCTGTTTACTGTGCTCTTGAGATGCTTGATTGATGGGTGTATTGATTTGCATCACGTAGTTCCTCTCACTGCCAAGGAATGAGTCCCATCTGTCTGCCTGGGGAGGGGACACTGGAATCCCTTCTTGGGCCACTGTGTGAGATACCCTGCAGCTTCATTCTGCAGAGCAAGGACCCTGTCTGTTTATGCCAGCAAGTGCTTTATTCTTTACCCAGCTCCCTTCCTGAAAGGCCCTTGCAGCTCTCTGGTGCTTGGGCACGATCCAAGCCAAAGACTCCGTACATTGCATGGGTACAAACTGACAGGGGCTCTGGTCAAGTCGTGGAGTAGACGGTGGTCCAGGCCAGGTCAGATTTGGGCCCCGGGCAGTCCAAGAGAAATGCCAGCTTGGGGAGGTCGTAGATCCAATCCCATCAGGAATGGATTCAGGTGTTTATAGGTGGGGATTTCCCCACTTTTAACCCAGGCCCACGTAAGCACCATTGGCCCTATAATTGGCCTCACTTGGCACTGGCGTTTTTGTGATGGCTTCTGATCAAATACCCACTAATTCTGGATCTGCTGGTGACCAGGGTTCATCTGGTGGGCCCCTACAGGCAGCATTCAGTCCAGAAAGTGCCAGTATCACATGGTAACTTCTGGTAGCTGTAACATTCAGTGACTCTCCATGTCATGCAGAGTGGGGAGGGGTGACATCGAGACCCTCTTATGCCTGGGGAATTCCTGCTGTCAATGCAGAATATTCTTTTTTTTTTTTTTGAAAAAAATAGAGCTGAGATCTCACTATGTTGCCCAGGCTGGTCTCAAACTCCCTCAAGTGATCTTCCTACCTTAGCCTCCTAAAGTGCTAGGATTATAGACATGAGGCACTGTGCCCAGCCTAGAATATTCTTGAATTATTTTATTTTTAAAATTTTTTTTTGAGATGGAGTCTCACTGTGTCACCCGGGCTGGAGTGCAGTGGCACCATCTTGGCTCACTGCAACCTCCACCTCCCAGGGTCATGTGATTCTCATGCCTCAGCCTCCCAAGTTGCTGGGACCTCAGGGATGTACCACCATGCCTGGCTAATTTTTTTTTTTTGAGACAGAGTCTTGCTCTGTTGCCAGGCACCAGGCTGGAGTGCAGTGGTGTGATCTCGGCTCACTGCAATGTCCTCCTCCCGGGTTTAAGCAATTCTCCTGCCTCAGCCTCCCAAGTAGCTGGGACTACAGGCGTGCACCACCATGCCCACCTAAGTTTTGTATTTTTTTTAAGAGAGAAGGGGTTTCACCATGTTGGCCAGGATGGTCTTGATTTCTTGACCTCGTGATCCGCCCTCCTTGGCCTCCCAAAGTGCTGGGATTACAGGCGTGAGCCCCCGCACCCGGCCTAATTTTTGTATTTTTAGTAGAGACAGGGTTTCACCATGTTGGCCAGGATGGTCTTGATCTCCTGACCTGGTGATCTGCCTGCCTCCTCCTCCCAAAGTGCTGAGATTACAGGCGTGAGCCACCATGCCCAGCCAAGTTTTTTTTTTTTTTTTTTTTTTTAATAGAAATGGGGTTTCACCATGTTGGCCAGACTGGTCTCGAACTCCTGCCCTCAAGTGATGTCCTACCTCAGTCTCTCAAAGTGCTGGGATTAGAGGTATAAGCCACTGCTCCCAGCCTATTCTTTTCTTTTTGAGACAGAGTCTCGCTCTGTCACCCAGGCTGGAGTGCAGTGGCATGATCTTGGCTCATACAACCTTTGCCTCCCAGGTTCAAGCGATTCTCCTGCCTCAACCTCCCAAGTAGCTGGGATTACAGGCACGTGCCACCACACCTGGCTAATTTTTGTATTTTGATAGAAACGTGGTTTCGCCATGTTGGCCAGGCTAGTTTTGAACTCCTGACCTCGAGTGATCCACCCCCTTCGCTCTCCTAAAGCGCTGGGATTACAGGCGTGAGCCACTGCGCCTGCCCTGTTCTTGAAGAGTTTAACCTGTTTTGGACTCAAGGGCACCTGGATGGCTCTGGTTTCCACCCTGGTTTCCTGGGAGTGCTTGTGCCATTGGGATACTCCCAAGAAGGCGACTCAAGGAGCTGGGAGGGAAAGGGATCAGCTGCTCATGGAGCCGTGGCCTGTTGCCTCCAGGAGGAGCTCGCAGCCCTCATCTCTGAGCTGAAGCAGGAGCAGAAGAAGGTGGATGAGCTCATCGCCAAACTGGTGAACAACCGGACCCGGATCGTCGTGAGTGCCCCTTCCCTCTGCCCCTGCCTGGGACCGGCCACCTTCACTTTCCTGTAGAGCTCAGTTCTCATTGGTCTTTTACTGAAAGCCATGCCTTCCATATAAAGCCAGAACTCAGTGCATTCCAGGGCAGGGTGGGGAAAGCGCAAAGCCTCTTAGGGGAATTCAACCCAGTTGTCGTCAGGACTGGCTCCAAGTTGGCTTTTGTCCTCTGTGTCCTTGGGACTGAGATAACCCAGGGGTTGAGTCCCAGGGGTAAACAGCTCAAAGCACGGGTGTGACTCCTCTGTCCTTGTGCCACCTGTGTCTGCTTGACCTTGCCAGCCTGCCATGGTGCCCTCCCAGTACCTGGGTGCGCAGGCATGGGGAGGTTGGCAGCCCTGAGCGCTGGCTGATCTCCCAAAATGAGAGGTGCATGGGGCTGGGAGTTGTGGAGCCCCAGCCCTGGAGGTGGCTGTGAAGCAGAAACAGGAGCCAGGCAACACCCAGGGGCACCGGGCATCCCTCATTTACCCTCCTCACCCTTGCACGGCAGGTGGTATCAGCCCTGCTGCGTGGAGGCAGAGCTCAGGGTCCTGCAGGAAGTTCTGGCTCCCTCTTGGTGAAGCCTGCTCTCCCAGGGCCTTCCGAGCCCTGGGATAAAAGCTTGCCTGCACTTTTAGCAGCTGAAATAGCCAGCGTAGGGCGCGGTGGCATGCACCTGTAATCCCAGCAACTTGGGAGGCTGAGGCAAAAGGGTTGCTTGCGGCTGGGAGGTCGAGGCTGTAGTGAGCTATGATCATGTCTCCACACTCCAGCCTGAGCAACAGAGCGAGACCCTATCTCGTTTTTTTTGAGGTGAAGTCTCATTCTGTCATGCAGGCTAGAGTGCAGTGGTGCAATCTTGGCCCACTGCAGCTTCTGCCACCCGGGTTCAACTGATTCTCCTGCCTCAGCTTCCCGAGTAGCTGGGGTTCCAGGTGCATGCAACTGCGCCTGGCTAATTTTTGTTTTTAGTAGAGACAGGGTTTCATCATCTTGGCCAGGCTGGTATTGAACTCCTGACCTCTTGATCCACCCACCTCGGCCTCCCAAAGTGCTGTCATTACAAGCGTGAGCCACCGCACCTGGCCGAGACCCGGTCTCAAAAAAGGCCAAAGCAGAGCCATTCCATCTGAAATGGGAGCTGGGGGTCACCCTCCCCAGGGCCACTTCCAGGGCTCCCCAAGCATGGTGTGAACTCCCGGTCTGGCATCAGCCCATGCAGCCTCCCTGGGACTCAGGTCCCAGGACCAGCCCAGTCAGGAAGGCCCTGGGGATACCGAGGCCAGCCAGAGCCTGGCAGCCTGGCTGTGACTCCATGGTGACCAGCCCTCCCTGTTCCAGAATGAGTCAGATGTCTTCAGCTGGGTAATCCGCCGAGAGTTCCAGGAGCTGCACCACCTGGTGGACGAGGAGAAGGCCCGCTGCCTGGAGGGGATAGGGGGTCACACCCGTGGCCTGGTGGCCTCCCTGGACATGCAGCTGGAACAGGCCCAGGGAGCCCGGGAGCGGCTGGCTCAAGCCGAGTGTGTGCTGGAGCAGTTCGGCAATGAGGAGCACCAGGAGTTTATCCGGGTGAGTGCACGGGGAGGTGACCCATCCCCATCGCTCCAGAGCCTTTCCCTTCTACCATCGCCCTGGCCTCCCACGCCCCAGCATCCCATGCCCTGGCGTTCACTTCACTCTCTCTTGCCTTCCAGAAGTTCCACTCCATGGCCTCCAGGTAATAACCTTGGAGAGAGCTCAGCCGGGGTCTGGTGGCTGCGGGCACGGGCATCTCGGCTGCACTGGCTCCTCCATTCAGCTTAACCAGCGCCTCCTGAGCAGCTGCCCACAGCTGGCTCTGTAACTGAGCCTGAAAACAGGAAAGTCACCTCCCTACCTTCAAGGGTCTCGCAGATGGGTGGGGAGGCAGATGGTGAACTGTGGGTACCTAGAACAGCAGAAGTTTATTCAACCTACAGAAATACTAGAGGAGGGTAGTTCATGCCTGCAATCCCAGCACTTTGGGAGGCCAAGGTAGGAGGACTGCTGGAGGCCAGGAGTTCAAGACTAGCCTGGCCAACATCGTAAGATTCATCTCTACAAAAAATACAAAAACAAAATTTAGGCCAGGCATGGTGGCTCACGCCTGTAATCCCAGCACTTAGGGAGGCCGAGATAGGCAGATCACGAGGTCAGGAGTTCGAGACCAGCCTGGCCAGCATGGTGAAACCCCATCTCTACTAAAAATACAAAAATTACCAGGCATGGTGGTGTGTGCCTGTACTCTCAGCTACTCAGGAGGTTGAGGTAGGACAATCACTTGAACTGGGGAGGCAGAGGTTGCAGTGAGCCAAGATCGTGCCACTGCACTCCAGTCTGGGTAACAGAACGAGACTTGGTCTCAAAAACAAAAACATTAGCTGGGCATGGTGGCATATGCCTATAGTCCACAATACGAGGCTGAGGCAGGAGGATTGCTTGAACCCAAAAGGTTGACACTGCAGTGAGTCATGATCGTGCTACTGCATGGTCCAGCCTGGGTGACAGAGCAAGCCCGTCTCGGGAAACAAAACACTAGAGGAGGAGCAGGGGGCCTGCAGAGGGGCACAGGCCTGACGGCTGAGAAGGGCCCAGGCAAGCCGAGGGAACGGTCCTGTGAAAGGGGAATGGTGTGCAGACTCTGGTGATGAGAAGCTCGGTGTGGCTGGGTGTCAGGCAGGGGATCGGAGGAGGGGGAGCTGGGAGAGGAGGGAAATGGCCAGAAGCGGGGTGGCTTGAAACTGGCTGGTGCAGATCATGGGAGAGAGCGGGTTCCTGTTCTGCACCCGACGGATGAACACGTCATGCAGCTCCCAGGCCTTCCTCACCGCCGTTTATGGGAGACTCCTGATTCCCACATATCTTTTAGTCTTAGAGACAATTTGCTTAGGAGACATGGGTTTATTTATATATTTATTTATTTTATTTTATTAAAGACGGGGTTTCACCACATTGGTCAGGCTGGTCTTGAACTCCTGACCTCAGGTGATCCGCCCACCTTGGCCTCCAAAGTGCTTGGATTACAGGCGTGAGCCACGAGACATGGGTTTAAATGAAGGGACAGAGGCTGGGCGTGGTGGCTCTCACCTATAATCCCTCCCGGCACTTTGGGAGGTCAAGGCGGAAGGATCACTTGAGGTCATGGTGAAACCCCATCTCAATGAAAAATACAAAAATTAGCTGGGTGTGGTGGCGTGCACCTGTAATCCCAGCTATTCAGGAGGCCGAGGCAGGAGAAACACTTGAACCTGGAAGGCGGAGGTTTTAGTGAGCTGAGATTGTGCCACTGCACTCCAGCCTGGGTGACAGAGTGAGACTCCATCTCAAAAAAAAAAAAAAAGTCTGGGCGTGGTGGCTCATGCCTGTGATCCCATTACTTTGGGAGGCCAGAGTGATGGGTGGATTGCTTGAGCTGAGGAGTTCAAGACCAGCCTGGGCAATATGGCAAAACTGTCTCTGTGATAACAAAAGGGTAAGTTGGGCGTGGTGGCACGTGCCTGTGGTCCCAGCTATTGGGTAGGCTGAGGTGGGAGGATCACTTGGGCCCAGGAGGGCAAAGCTGCACTGAGTCAAAATCACGCCACTGCACTCCAGCCTGGGTGACAGAGTGAAACCCTGACTCAAGAAAAAGACATTTTACTTGGCCCCCATAATTGGTTTCTGATTGGCAGGTCTGGTGTGGGGCCTAATAACCTGCATTTCTGACCATTTCCCGGGTGGACCATTGGCTTTCCAATGGGAACAGGTTGGACCGATTTCCACTTGGCACTGCTGGTCCCCAAACCCGCACGCTGAGAAGCACTGCCATAGTGTGTTCCCCTTCTAGGAAGGAGCTGGGTCCTCTCTGAAGGGGCTGTGCAGGGGAGGAGACGATGGGCATTGATGGGCATCGTGAGTGCAGTCCTGCACTGTGGATCTGGCTGGGTAGACATAGCTAGGACCGAGGGGTGGGCAGGCCACGTGGTCCATCACTCTCTTGTACTGTGAACTGTCACCTGCAGGGCAGAGCTGCAGCAGGCCCGGCCCTTGGAAGGCGCATTCAGCCCCATCTCCTTCAAGCCGGGCCTCCACCAGGCAGACATCAAGCTGACTGTGTGGAAAAGGCTTTTCCGGAAAGTTCTGCCAGGTGAGACCCGGACCCATCCTCCTTCCTGAGAGCTGCCGCCCAGGGCGGGTAGCAGTTCATTGACTGTGTCAGAGAGCGGTTAAGTTACAGAGAACTCCGTAGATGGAGGTTTGCGGAGGGTCCTGGTGAGAGCATGGGACTGAGCTTCCGAGCAGCCTGGGTTTCCGCTCACTCCATCCCTTCCTAGGCAGTGGCTGGGCAAGTTGTGTCCTTTCTGAGCCCCAGCTTCCTCAGCTGTGGAGTATCAGCACCCCCAGGCTGGGGGGCAGTTTGTATACAGACACGCGTGTGTTGCAGTTTACTAGTTCCTAAAGGGTATTAGGTTGGTGCAAAAGTAACTGCAGTTTTTGCCATTTCTTTTGAAAGTAATATACTTTTAGGCCAGGCACGGTGGCTCACGCCTGTAATCCCAGCACTTTGGGAGGCCGAGGAGGGCGGATCATCAGGTCAGGATTTCGAGAGCAGCCTGACCAACAGGGTGAAACCTTGTCTCTACTAAAAATACAAAAATTAGCTGGCCGTGGTGGCTCACGCCTGTAAACCCAGCTACTTGGGAGGCTGAGGCAGGAGAATCACTTGAACTGGAGAGGTGGAGGTTGCAGTGAGTTGAGATCACGCCACTGCACTCCAGCCTGGGCAACAAGAGCAAAATATTGTCTCAAAAAAAAAAAAGGCCTTTTTAATGGCAAAAACCACAGTTACTTTTGAACCAACCTATTATTGCTCTCTGTCAAAAACAACTCAAACACATTTCATTTGTTTATTAGTAGCATGTTCTTTTGTACATAAGGGTGATTGTTAACAGTGATTTCATCCACCAAAGGCAAAAATAGGGTTTAAATAAAAGAAGGGGCCAGGCATGGTGACTCATGCCTGAAATCCCAGCACCTTCGGAGGACAAGGTGGGAGGACTGCTTGAGGCCAGGAGTTTGAGACCAACCAGCCTGAGCAACATAGTGAGACGACATCTCCACAGAAAATAATTAGTGGGTGTGGTGTCATGTGCCTGTGGCCCCAGCTACTCAGGAGGCTGAGGCAGGAGGCTCACTTGAACCCAGGAGTTGGGAGGCTGCAGTGAGCTATGATGGCACCACTACACTCCAGCCTGGGCAACAGAGGAGACCTCATCACTAAGTTAAGAAAAGAAGGAAAAAAAAAAAAAAAAAAAAAAAAAAGAGGGCTGGGCGCGGTGGCTCATGCCTGTAATCCTAACACTTTGGGAGGCCAAGGTGGGCAGATCATGAGGTTAGGATTTTGAGACCAGCCTGACCAACATGGTGAAACCTCGTCTCTACTAAAAATACAAAAACTAGCTGGGTGTGGTGGCACACACCTCTAATCCCAGCTATTTGGGAGGCTGAGGCAGGAGAATCACTTGAACCTGGGAGGCGGAGGTTGCAGTGAGCCAAGATCATGCCACTGCACTCCAGCCTGGGCAACAGAGTGAGACTCCATCTCAAAAAAAAAAAAAAAAAAAAGGAAAAAATTGCAGTCTGTGAACTGAGTCCTGTTTGTAGATTTCACTTTTTTCTTTTTTTTTTAGGAAAATTTGTATTAATGTACAGAAAACTCAACAGTGTACATTTTACCCTGTTTAGTGGTGGGTTCTTTAGCCTTTTACCTTTTTGAGCTTGACAATGTGAGCCACAGACTCGGGACCCAGGACACTGCCTCCCCAGTGACAGTGGATCTCATCACATCCGTCATTGTAATTAGTCGTGGGAGCTTCCACCAGCTTAGCCAAAGCTCCTTTGTCTTCTGAGTTAACCTGTGTGAAGGCGACAGTGGTGCAGGTGTTCCTGGGGACTAGACATCCCAGCCTTGCCTCCCCCTTGGTGATGCAGTCAGGGACCCCCATTTTACAACAGAGGGTAGGCAGAAAGACAGCCAGCTCGACGGGACCCACACTGCCTGCAGTCACCACTAGCTGAGTCGTTGTCTTTTTTTTTTTTTTTTTAAATGAGATGCAGTTTTGCTCTGTTGCCCAGGGCTGGAGTGCAGTTGTGTGATCTTGGCTCACTGCAACCTCTGTCTCTCAGGTTCTAGCAATTCTCCTGCCTCAGCCTCCCAAGTAGCTGGGACTACAGGTGTGTGCCACCACGCCCGGCTAATTTTTGTATTTTTAGAAGAAACGGGGTTTCATTATGTCGGCCAGGTTGCTTGCAAACTCCTGGCCTCAAGTGATCCGCCCGCCTCAGCCTCCCAAAGTTCAGGGATTACAGGTGTGAGCCAATCTGCCTGGCCCAGCTGAGCCTTCTTGTTCTCCACCAAGGCGGTACCGCTGTTAATTCCTGCTCCAAGGACAGGTGGCCTCTCAGTGGGGACATCCCTCTTGCCGGCAGTTTTCTTCTCAGCCAGGGCCAACAGCTTCTGCTGCTTGTCTTGCTTGGCCTCTGGCCTGTCCTTGTGGGCCAGCTGAAGCAGCTGAGCAGCGGTCGCGCGGCCCAGGGCCTGGGTGAACTGGTTGATGGCAGGAGCCACTTTGAGCCGCTTACAGAGGATGCCTGTCTCCGCTGCAGCCTGACAGAGCGGGACTACTGCACAAAGCGGTGAGGCCCCTTTTGGCTAGAGGTCCTGTCCAGTGCCAAAAGTCTTAAGCCTTTTCTCAAACAGGGGATTCACCACTTTCTTTGCCTCCTGCTCTGGGTGACAGAGCAAGACTGTCTCAACAACAACAAAAAAGAGCAAAGCAGAGCAAGATTAGAAGGACATGTACAGAAAAGAAGGCCATGTGAAGGCCAAAGCAGAGGCTGGAATGACATGGCCACAGGCCTGGGAACACCAGGGTTCCCTGGAGGAGGGAATTCACATTTCTGGGGTGAACAGATGAGCTGGTAGCTAGCAAAAAGCTCAGGTGCACTAGTTTCTCCCTGAATAGGCTGACTAGGCTAGAAAATCCAACAGCGGCAGTTGTCATGGGTTCTCCAGAAAACCCTGAGGGTTGAGCTGTAGTCTCATGGGACAGGTGTCTTCTGGGTCCTTCTCACAGCACCTCTGCCTCAGGCAGGTGGGCCAGAGCCCCTGAGCCCAGTGTTCCCAGCCACCTCAGCCCCTACAGCCCACCAAGGTGGCTCCCTTTCATATAAACCCTGGCTTTGCCTTTGGTGATACAATCAGCATTGATCTTTATGTACAGCTCCATCCCCTCATGCATGCATTCATTCATTCATGCATGCATTCATTCAGCAGCCCTGTACTGGCCCCTTCTAGGCCCTGGGGCTAGAGAGATGAGGCTGACACAGCCCTTCTCCTTGGGGAGCTCAGGGCCTGCATCAGCCTCTGTGGGGTCAGGGGGAGTCTATGGCCCTCTGCATGGCCTCACAGGCCCTCTGTGATCTTTTTCCCAGCCCCAGAGCCTCTCAAGCTGGACCCTGCCACTGCCCACCCGCTCTTGGAGCTCTCCAAAGGCAACACGGTGGTGCAGTGTGGGCTCCTGGCCCAGCGGCGTGCCAGCCAGCCGGAGCGCTTTGACTACAGCACCTGCGTCCTGGCCAGCCGTGGCTTCTCCTGCGGCTGCCACTACTGGGAGGTGGTGGTGGGCAGCAAGAGTGACTGGCGCCTGGGGGTCATCAAGGGCACAGCCAGCTGTAAGGGCAAGCTGAACAGGTCCCCTGAGCACGGCGTGTGGCTGATTGGCCTGAAGGAAGGCCGGGTGTATGAAGCCTTCGCCTGCCCGCGGGTGCCCCTGCCCGTGTCGGGCCACCCCCACCGCATTGGGGTCTACCTGCACTATGAGCAGGGTGAGCTCACCTTCTTTGACGCCGACCGCCCCGATGACTTGCGGCCGCTCTACACCTTCCAGGCTGACTTCCAAGGCAAGCTCTACCCCATCCTGGACACCTGCTGGCACGAGAGGGGCAGCAACTCGCTGCCCATGGTGCTGCCCCCTCCAAGTGGGCCTGGTCACCCCAACCCAGGGCAGCCCACCAAGCTGTAGGGGTCCTGCTGGCCCACAGGCCCATCCCTGTGGGGCACCGGGGACTCGTGTGTTTCTGCTGGGTTCCGAGGTGGTATCTTCGGGGACCAGGAAGGTCTTCAAGCCTGTGTCCCTGGAACATTGAATGATAGGGAACAGGGAACAGGAACCCAATTCCTTTCCCGTCAGCCAGGTGGGTATTTGTAAACTTCTGCCCCCAGGCCTTGGCAGCCACAGGACACACAGAACTCCCCGCCGTCCCCTCTAACCACGCCCTCTGCGCAGACGCTGCCAACTGAGGGCAGTAGTCCCACACGTGCTTTTTCCTTATGACTGGGAACTTTCTACTACTGCCAAGGGTAATAAATCTGACATTATTTCACTTTAAATTATTTGCAAATATTAGTTGCTGTACATACATACTGCTTTATGCTTGAGTCTTTTTGTGTTTTTTTGTTTTGTTTCATTTTTTCTAAGACAGAATCTCACTCTGTCACCCAGGCTGGAGTGGAGTGGTCTGATCTCAGCTCACTGTAACCTCCGCCTCCCAGGTTCAAGCGATTCTCCTGCCCCAGCCTCCTGAGTAGCTGGGATTATAGATCCGTATCCCACGCTCAGCTAATTTTTGTATTTTTGGTAGAGATGGGGTTTTGCTGTGTTAGCCAGGCTGGTCTCGAACTCCTGATCTCAGGTGATCCACCCACCTCGGTCTCTCAAAGTGCTGAGATTACAGGCATGAGCCACTGTGCAAGGCCTTGAGTCTTTATTTTTAGAGACAGGATCTCGCTGTGTCACCCAGGCTGGAGTGCAGAATCATAGCTCACTGCAGCCTTGACCTCCTGAGCTCAAGTGATCCTCCTGCCTCAGCCTCCTGAGTAGCTGGGACAAATGTCTGCCACCATGCCCAGGTAATTAAATTTTTAGTAGAGGCCGGGTGCGGTGGCTCACACCTGTAATCCCAGTACTTTGGGAGGCCAAGGCGGGTGGATCACCTTAAGTCAGGAGTTTGAGACTAGCCTGACCAACATGGAGAAACCCCATCTCTACTAAAAATACAAAATTAGCCTGGTGTGGTGGTACCTGCCTGTAATTCCAGCTACTTGGGAGGCTGAGGCAGGAGAATCGCTTGAACCCAGGAGGGGGAGGTTGCGGTGAGCTGAGATTGTGCCACTGCACTCCAGCCTGGGCAACACGAGTGAAACTGTGTCCCAGAAACAAACCAAACACAATTTTTAGTAGAGACAGGATCTTGCTGTGTTACCCAGGCTGGTCTGGGCCTCAAGCAATCCTCCCACCATGGCCTCCAAAGTGCTAAGATTACGGGTATGAGCCACTGCGCCTGGTCTTCCTCTGCCTCTCTCTTACAGGGATACTTGGGATGATACGTGGGCCTGCCCAGATAATTGAGGATAACCTCCTCCTCTCCAAACCCTTCACCTCACCACTCCTACAGATCTCTTTGATGAAAGGTGACACTTCCAGGCTGTAGGAATTAGGGCCTGCTCTCTCTGGGTGGCCATTGTTCACTCCACCACCCTAGGTTTCCCCATCCTGCCAAAACGCACCAGCACTGTGTCAACTGCCCAGACCGAAAACCTATGAGTTATTCTTGACCTGTCCTCCTTCCTGAGCAAGTTCTGTGGACTTAGCAGTCACACTGCCAACTTAACCCTGACTCCACCAACTCAGTCCAGGCTACCAGTTCTTGCCAAGGTGTCTGCCATGATCCCCATTGCTATCTCCCTGCCTCAACTCTGCCTCTGCCCATCTTATGTCCCTACACTGTAGCCAGACTGATTTTTATTTACTTTTGGGAGAGTCTTGCTCTATCCCCCAGGCTGGAGTGCAGTGGCACGATCTCAGCTCACTACAATCTCTGCCTCCTGGGTTCAAGTGATTCTCATGCCTCAGCCTCCTGAGTAGCTGCAGTTATAGGCATCTGCCACCATGCCTGGCTAATCTTTGTATTTTTCGTAGAGATGGGGTTTTGCCATGTTGGCCAGGCTGGTCTCAAACTCCTGACCTCAAGTGATGTGCTTGCCTCGGCCTCCCAAAGTGCTGGGCTTACAGGTGTGAACCACCACACCTGGGCAGACTGATCTTTTAAAGAAGTATATGTGAGCACAGCACTCAAGAGGACTACCATTTCTTTCAAGAAAGTAACAAAATCCTTGCTGGGCACAGTGGCTCATGCCTGTAATCACTGCTTTGGGAAACCGAGGTGGGAGGACTGCTTGAGGCCAGGAGTTTGAGACTATACATGGTGAAACCCCATCTCTACAAAAGATAAAATTAGCTGGGTGTGGTGGTGCATGCCTGTAGTCCTAGCTACTAGAAGGGTGAAGTGGATCACTTGAGCCCAGTAGTTTGAGGCTGCAGTGAGCTTTGATGGTGCCACTGCACTGCAGCCTGGGTGACTGAGACCTCATCAAAAACAAAACAAAAACTCGTTATGGTGGCGTTGAGGCCTGGATACCTACATACTGTGGCCAAACTGGCCCATTTCAGGTACCCAAATACCCCATGAGCTTTCTTGCTTGGCTCTGGGGACTGATAAGGTTACTGGTGGGGGGTGAGTGGCAGGTATCGTGAACCAGATTGTGAACCTGGAGCTGCTGGAACCTTTTCTGTCATTTCCCAGGAAAAGCCTCCCTGAGAACAGAGCCATCAGAAGACACATGGCAAAGGAACATAAGGCAATAAACAGAGACACATAATTATGGCCAGGCGCAGGGGCTCACGCCTGGAATCCTAGTACTTTGGGAGGTTGAGGCGGATGATCAACTGAGGTCTGGAGTTTGAAACCAGCCTGGCCAACGTGGTGAAACCCCGTCTCTACTAAAACCACAAAAACTAGCTGGGCATGGTGGCGGGCACCTGTAATCCCAGCTACTCGGGCGGCTGAAGCAGGACAAGAGCTTGAACCCGGAGGCAGAGGTTGCGGTGAGCTGAGATTGCGCCACTGAGCGGCTGTCTTAAAAAAAAAAAAAAAAAAGCAAATGATGTATATAATAATGACCAATACACATGTGAAGATATTCAACCTCAATAACTGCAGTTAAACAGCAGTAAAATCCCATTATTTGCCCATCAGATTGGCAAAGACTGCAGAACCAGAGAAGTGGCAAAACAGGCTCGCAGAACCGCATTCCAGACATCCTGGCAGGTGCGCGATCACACACACCCCTTTGGGCCGGGGGACCGGCACTTCCGGTTCCGTAAGGCCGTGCTTTTTGACCCCGGAAATCCGGGCGGGCGCAGAGCCGGGTGCGCTTTGCGACAGAGCCGTAAAGGCGCGCGGAACTATGGCGGTGTACGCTGCTGCGGCAGGCGTCCTGGCAGGCGTGGAGAGCCGCCAGGGCTCCATCAAGGGGCTGGTGTACTCCAGTAACTTCCAGGTAGCGGGCCTGGGCGCGAGAAGTAGGGGTGGGGGTGGGGAACCTGGGATAGGGTGGGACGGGCCGGGATGGGGTCGGGAGGTAGGGCCCGGTGGAGCCCCCGACCCAGCTTGTCTCCCTCGGCCACACAGAACGTGAAGCAGCTGTACGCTCTGGTGTGCGAGACGCAGCGCTACTCCGCGGTGCTGGACGCGGTGATTGCCAGCGCCGGCCTCCTCCGCGCGGAGAAGAAGCTGCGGCCGCACCTGGCCAAGGTGAGGAAAGGCGAAGGGCGGGGCGGGGCGGGGAAGTGAGTCCCGACGGTCAGCGCCTTGTCGTTTGGTCGCAGCTCTGCTGCAGTGCTCGGCGGGACTGGAGCAAGTCGCTTATCTGAAATGAGCATGGGCAGACCTTTCTTGGGTTACGAGTTGAGATGGGATGAAAATGCTATAATTTTGAATACTGTGAAGGATTAAATAACCGAAGTATAAAGTAGTAGTGGCGGAGACGCTAAGGAAGTGTGGTGGCGCGCGCCTGTGGTCCCAGCTACTCGGGAGGCTGAGAAGGGAGGATCACTTGAGCCCAGGAAGTCGAAGCTGCAGTGAGCTATGATATGGCCACTGGACTTCAGCCTGGGCGACAGAGCTAGACCCCAATTCTTAAAAGAAAAAAAAAACAAAAAGCAAAACCCAAACCCACGAAAGGGTAAAGTTGGCAAGAAGGATTGGGTGCAGAGGTCTACGGGTGAACATCAGTGGGGAAAGGGTCTAGGACTGGGAAGCAAGGCGCCAGGTTCCGATCCTGTTCTGTCGTTAATTTCTGGTGTGATCTTGAATAAGGTACCCCCCATTTATCTGTAACTATCTGGACAGGTGATGCGTTTAGCCATTCCACATCAGGGGCTCTATTAGAGTTAGTTCTCAGGCATTAATGCTTAATGCTTAGGGCGTTTTTGTTTTTGTCTTTTGTTTCCCCATCCCCAGGTGCTAGTGTATGAGCTGTTGTTGGGGAAGGGCTTTCGAGGGGGTGGGGGCCGATGGAAGGCTCTGTTGGGCCGGCACCAAGCAAGGCTCAAGGCTGAGTTGGCTCGGCTCAAGGTTCATCGGGGTGTGAGCCGGAATGAGGACCTGCTGGAAGTGGGATCCAGGCCTGGTCCAGGTGAGTAGGAAGGAGTTGGGGGTGGGGTGGGGGAGGCAGGAACTTTGCTCTTGCCTACTCACTGCTCATTGCATCCTAGCCTCCCAGCTGCCTCGATTTGTGCGTGTCAACACTCTCAAGACCTGCTCCGATGATGTAGTTGATTATTTCAAGAGAAAAGGTTTCTCCTATCAGGGTCGGGCTTCCAGGTGAGAACTTGGCGGCTCTCATCTCGGGAGGTGCGTGGGGTGCTGGGAAGAGAAGAGGCTGCATAGTTGTGACTGTGCTCACTGGGCTTTCTTCCTGCGTTTCCAGCAGTTTCTCCATCTCTACGGTTTGTCCTCTTCCCATCCCTTGAACATTGAACCTCTAGGAGTCCCAGCCTCCATTCTTCTTCACATCCCTCTTTTTTCTCTCGCTTTAACTCCTGCCTCCCACCTGGTGATTCTCACAGCCCAGCGTAGACCTCCCTCTTGTATTCCGCTCTCCTCAGCTTCACGCGCAGGCACCGTAGACGCCACAGTTGCTGCCTTCACCATCTTCCCTCTCATACTTTAGACCTAGTGCATTCCCCAGTCTAATCTAGCATATGTCACATCTTCTACCCATCTGCTCAAGCCAGAAACAGAGTTGTCCTAGGCTAGGCGCTTTCTTCCTATCCCTCCAATCATTCACTCTGCCACCTTCAGCATCTTTCTCAGCTCCACTCCTTTCTCTCTTTTTTTTAGACTGAGTCTCGCTCTGAGGTTGGAGTGCAATGGCATGATCTTGGCTCACTTCAACCTCTGCCACCCAGGTTCAAGCGATACTCCTGTCTCAGCCTCCCGAGCAGCTGGGATTAGAGGCCTGAGCCCCGGTGCCCGGCTTCCACTCCTTCCTCTTCATCCTCTCAGACACTGCCTAGGTTAAGCACTCATCATTTCTTACTGGATGACCACAAGAAGTTCCCAGACTGGGCTCTCTGCGTCCAGACCTCCTTGCTGCATTTTCCTCCTTGTGGTTACTGTAGAAAACTCCAAAGGCGGCCAGGGGCGGTGGCTCATGCCTGTATTCCCAACACTTTGGGAGGACAGGTGGGCAGATCACGAGGTCAAGAGATCGAGACCATCCTGGCCAATGTGAGAACCCATCTCTACTAAAAATACAAAAATTAGCTGGATGTGGTGGCGTGCGCCTGCAGTCCCAGCTACTCAGGAGGCTGAGGCAGGAGAATTGCTTGAACCTGGGAGGTGGAGGTTGTAGTGAGCTGAGATGGTGCCACTGCACTCCAGCCTGGTCAATAGAGCAAGACTCCATCTCAGAAAAAAAAAAAAACAATGCTCTACATGCAGCTCTGATGCTGTCACTCCTCTGCTAAGTGCTTTCTTGGCTCCAGTGTGTTGTCCCTCCCGCTTCCTCTCCAGGCCCATCTGCTGCACTGGTGTGGCAGCAACAGTGGCTGGTCCCTACCCTGAGGCCTCCTCCACTGGGCTCACACCTGGCCCCTGCTTTGTCCTTTGGCGGCTTTGAGAAGCAGCCTCTGCCCCTCTCCCTGTCCTCCACTCTTTGTGAGACCCTCTTCCTTCTGCCTCTGGACACCAGGGTGGAGTAGCAGAGAACAGCTGTTTGTGTGTGAATTCCAGCTCTGCCACTTTGATAGATTTCTGCACTGAGACGTGGCTCTCTAGGCCCGTTTCTGCATGGGTCGGGGAGACGGGCAGTACTCCTTTGCCGAGTTATGGTGAATGTCATTTTAACCCACGCACCTCACGGGACTTAACTCCTCATCCACCAAGAATGAGCTCAGCTCTCACCTCCCTGCATCCCTTCACCCCCCTGGAAAGTAACCTTTCTCCAAGGTTATGCTTCCACAGGAACAGCTAACATTTATTAATTTGCACCAAGTAAGTATCTTGGATATCACTGAATTCTCACAGCTACTATTTTGCAGGGGTGCCCGCGGGGCTTGCGATTCAGTCACTTGTCCAGGCTCCCACTGCTGGTGAACAGTAGGGGGGGCGCCTGAGCCTAGTCACTCTGCCTTGAGAACCCATTCCCTCAGCTGCACAGTCCACTGCCCGTCACCCTGTTTTTCTCCGTAGCTGTAGTAAACATTTGTTGCATGAATGAACTGTTGAAATGGGGCGTGGCAGGGCGAAATTGGGGAAATGATGAATGAATGGTTCCTCTTCCCTGGCAGCGCTGACGACCTCCGAGCCCTCAAGGGGAAGCGTTTTCTCCTGGACCCCGTGGTGCCAGAGTTGCTGGCGTTTCCCGCCCAGACAGATCTACATGAACACCCACTGTACCGGGCCGGACACCTCATTCTGCAGGACAGGGTAGGGTAAGAGGAATGGAAAAGGGAAGAATATGTGCGCTCGGGAAGGGGTCAGCCTGGAGTCTCTTCACCTGGCCCCGGTGCTCTGCCCACCAGGCCAGCTGTCTCCCAGCCATGCTGCTGGACCCTCCACCGGGCTCCCACGTCATCGATGCATGCGCTGCCCCAGGCAATAAGACCAGTCACTTGGCTGCTCTTCTGAAGAACCAAGGGTGAGTGCCACGTTCAGGAGCGGGAGGAGGGCGTGGGGCTTGATCCTCTGCCCTTTCAGTGGGTCACGAATGCCGAAAGGGTGGCTTTTGCTTAACTTTTCCTGCTGCACCAAAGCAGGTCATGGTCACCCCAAGCTAAGCTTCCCCCACTGCAGGTGACATGTGGATCCCTTAGTCCTCAGGGCAGAGACCCCAGGCCAGTTACCTCTGACCCTGGACTCTTTAAATGTAGGCCATTTTTGCTGGGCACGGTGGCTCCTGCCTGTAATCCCAGCACTTTGGGAGGCTTAGGTAGGCAGATCATGAGGTCAGGAGTTCAAAACCAGCCTGGCCAACATGGTGAAACCCTGTCTCTACTAAAAGTACAAAAAATTAGCTGGCCTGGGGCAGGCGCCTGTATTCCCAGCTACCCAGGAGGCTGGGGCAGGAGAATTGCTTGAACCCAGGAGGTGGAGGGTGCAGTGAACCAAGATCGCACCATTGCACTCCAGCCTGGGCGTCAGTTCAGAACAACAAATACAGGCATTTCAGTATTGTGTCCTGACTTAGCATGCAGCCCCTTAGCTGCTCCATACGTTCTTAGCTCACTCCTGCTCTGCCCTCTCCCTAGGAAGATCTTTGCCTTTGACCTGGATGCCAAGCGGCTGTCGTCCATGGCCACTCTGCTGGCCCGGGCCGGCGTCTCCTGCTGTGAGCTGGCTGAAGATGACTTCCTGGCAGTCTCCCCCTCAGATCCGCGCTACAGTCAGGTCCGCTACATCCTGCTGGACCCTTCCTGCAGTGGCTCGGGTGAGATGGGAGAAAGTGTGGCCAAGGGACTCGCAGGTCCACAGCCGCCCAGAACTGGAGTAGTTTTGGTGTTAGTTCTGACGCTTTAATGGGCTTGGAACCCTGGGGCAAAAGTTCTTCTCTGTGAAGTCAGGATTTCAGGACTAAGGCAGCCTGTGAAGCTGTCACTGAGATGCACTTTTCCTTAGGTATGCAGAGCAGACAGCTGGAGGAGCCTGGCGCACGCACACCTAGCCCGGAGCGCCTGCATGCGCTGGCAGGGTTCCAGCAGCGAGCCTTGTGCCATGCGCTCACTTTCCCCTCCCTGCAGCGGCTTGTCTACTCTACGTGCTCCCTTTGCCAGGAGGAGAATGAAGATGTGGTACGAGGCGCCCTGCAGCAGAACCCTGGCGCCTTTAGGTAATGGGTGTGCGCCAGGGTCCTGGGGGGCAGCGGTGAGTGGCTCTCTAACCCAGCACCTGTTTCTCTCGCAGGCTAGCTCCCGTCCTGCCTACCTGGCCGCTCCGAGGCCTGAGCAGGTTCCCAGGTGCGGAGCATTGCCTCCGGGCCTCCCCCGAGACCACACTCAGCGGTGGCTTCTTTGTTGCTGTAATTGAACGGGTTGAGGCGCCGAGGTGAGTGAGCAGGAGCATGCTTGGGAGACACAGGATGACCTCGGCACATCTCACATTGCACTTCTCCTCTAGCTCAGCCTCACAGGCCGAAGCGTCAGCACCAGAATGCACACCCAGCCCAGCCCCAAAGAGAAAGAAGAGACGGCGACAAGCTGCAGCTGATGCTCACACGCTGCCTGGCACATAGCAGGGGCTCCGGGCTGCCTCCTTCCTGGTGGGAAAGGAAGATGCTGTCCTCCCCATGGAGGGCCCTGGGCCTCACCGCAGGCAGCAGTACTGGGTTCCTTCCTTGGGCTGTGTTCTTTGCTGGTGACAAAAGTGTTGCCCACAAAAATAAAATGCAGAGCGTATTCTATGATAGATCACAGTTTTTATTCTTAGTGACATAAGCAGGAGAAAAATCTCACCTTCATACTAAAACTTCCAGCTAGACTCAACAGGAATGAAGTCTTTATCTGTAAGGAAAGTCCCAGCCTCCCGCTCCTGTCCAGTCCTGTACACACCACACACACGGTTCCCGGACTGGCTGTCCTGCCTGTGGAACTGAGGTAAACCAGCTCAGGGACTGAAACTAGAGGGTCTACCTTACGTGAGGTGCAGGTAGAAGCTTGATCTCTAGGCCCAGGCCCACCCCGACCCTCCAGTGCTAACAGGTATTTGGGCTTAAGGTTGGCTCTCCCCTCAGCTGCACACACAGCCAGGTATGAACAAGGATCAGAGCTGTTCTGAGGGCTGGAGGAGCGTCCCCGCCACCGAACACTCACCCTCAGTCACCACGGGGAGGGGGCACCGGTTACATCTACATCACATTATTTATAAAATAGGAATTACAGTTTATGTAACATGGCCAGAAGGGGCTCTAGTCCCTCAGAAAGCTGCCTGGGACAGCATCTGAGCCTCTTCTTCACATAGGCATAACTTAACTATATGGTAATTCCTAGTCAATAGCGTTTATACTTAACCACCTCAATGAACCAAGCTTGAAGGAATTTAAAAGGCAATTTAGCTTAAATATAAAAATAAATTTTTGTTAAAAAATGTTTAAATATTTTTTTCTTTTAATTTAGACACACGCATTCATACTTCTCCCAAAGAGGTCGGGCATGGCAGCAAGACTCTTGGGCCTGGGGTCTGTGGTTTCAGAATAAAGGAAGGTAAGGGTGGGCTGCAGAGGGCCCTGTTTGGGAAGAATAGGGTTTTAAAAACCTGGTTCATGAATTTAGGTTTTCTAACATACTCTGGGTGATGCAGCCTCCACTGAGGTCAGATAAGCGGGACAGAAATGAGGTCTTTGCTTTTCCCTGGCCCCATCCTGGGCTGCCAGCCCTTAAAGTCAAAACACCATTGGAAAATTCAGGAGTCAGCACTTGTAGCCATAAAGTGGTGCTACTTTCCACACGCAAATTAGCGAGGCTCCAGAAAACTTGAAACAGTAAGTCCGGCACTACCAACATGCCGCCACTCATACAACTCAATTCTTCCTCCAAACTCGATTCAAAGAGCAATACACAGCGTCAGACAAACGAACACAGGACAAGTCTTGAAACATACAATCCCGGAGAGGCAGACGAGGGCCTGATGAGGCCAAAGGGTGGCTGGGAGAGGAGGCAGCTGAAGCAGCGGTGGGCATCCTGCCTGCTCCAAGAGCTTCTTCCTCTTGGAGCGAGGTATCTCACCCCTGGCTCTGCCAGGCTAACAGTCGAGCCACCAAGCTTTGAGGGGCCAAACTGGCAGAGGGTTGGAGATGAAACATTGATTCAGACTTGGCAGGAGGAAAACGGCAGGAGCAGTACCCACCGGGGTCTCCAAGGCAAAGCTAGATTCAAGGGCATTTAAAAAGGAATCAGTCCTGCAGGAAACCAGTGAGGGACACAGCAGCAAGAAATGGGGAAGTAAGAATCCCCGGAAGGGACCAGAGGAGGAGAACCGCTTCTCACAGCCAAGCCAAGCAAGGTAAAGCTTTAGGGACAACCCATCTCCTGAATCCCATCAGATGCACAACAGCAATCCAGGTGGGCTGAACCCTGCACCCTCCAGCGACGATGGCTCTCGGGGAAAGGCGGAAGGGGTGCCTGCCTAAGGGCGTGCTAAGCAGGAGTCAGGGCAGCGGACGCTACGCTATATACAGATGTTTAAGTTCTCCAGCATCCCCAGTGGAACTGTTCAAGTAAAGGTCACGGGCTTTGGACCTGCCGCGTCCTGCTTCCTCATCCCTGAGGCTCGTTCGTGCTTCCTCCAGGAGAAGGGAAAGGGCCCCAGGGCTGCCACTACCCCCTGGTGGCTGAAGCCAGACATCTGGGGTAGGTTTGCTGTATGGAACTCGAAGGGTCAAAGGCTCTTCCTAGCAGGTGCCAAGGGCCAGATTTAGGGAAGGGGTGGGGAAATGGGGCCAGGAAACAAAGGCTATTTTTTGCGGGTGTGCTGCCTTCGGGCCTGCAGCCGCTGTCGAGCCCCTGGGGTCTTGGATCCCGCACCAATGGAAAATGAAGGGGTCGCCGATCCTGGAAAGATTCAACAAGACCTCATCAGGGCAGCTGCTACCTGAGACTCTGGGTCTGAGTACCCGAACCTCTGGAAGACTGGGCGGGAAACACCGTATGGGAGGAGCCTACTGAAATGCAAACTGCCAGAGTGCCCCAGAGCCAGGCCCATGAATCCATTTTTACCTGGCTTCCCATAGGATGGGGAACTTCCAGCCAGACAGCTCGTCTCTGATCCCTACCATCCAACTCCCATCCCTGGGCGGTGGCGGACTCTTAACCCAAAACGGCTTTTCTGTGCTGAAGCTGATCTTCACAAGGCCTCAGAGGGCCAGAAGCCTGTCACCCCACCCAACCCCTCCTCAGACAGACACAGATCACAGGGCCACGGGACTACAGGGGGCCCCAGGGTGGCTTGCTGCTTACCGAATGGTCCAACGCCAACAAAGCCTTGGGCGGGTGTTGAGGACGCCCCAAAGGAGAGGCTGCTGCCCGATGTGCCCACTCCAGGCGCAGGGGTGTTCTGACCAAAGGTGGGAGCAGCAGTGCCTGGAATGAAGACAGCAGAGAGCTGGCCAGTGGGCAGAGGGCAGAGGTGGGCAAGGGGAGGATCAACAGTGTGCACTCCGCAAGGTACTTCCTCATAGGACCCTTGGCCCTGCTCCTGCTCCTGGCCCACTCTCCTCCATCAGCAACTGAGCCAGACAACCGAGTCTTCATGCCTGGTGCCCCAGTTCAGCCTGCTTCTCCCACCAACAGGCTAATGGCCACGCCATAGCAGAGAAAAAAAAACCCTGCCCTGTAGCCGCTTCCTGGGCCTCCTGACCCCTGCTGGAGAGGGGAGTACTCCAGGCCCCTGCCTCCTAGCATACCCAGGTTAGCCACCTCCTCCGTTCGGACCATCCCCCCCCAGCCACTGTCCCTTCCCCTCATCTTTTGTGGTGCCCCCTGGTGCCCACAGTTGTCACGAACAGCCTTGCCCGACTGACTCTGGGGCTGCCTGGCTGATGCCCTCTCCGGCAGCTCCTCTGCAGGGAAGGCTGCCCGCAGGGCCTAGCCTCCAGCCCGGGCAAGGGGAGGCTCCTGTGCTCCATACTGTTTGTCTTCCTTCCCTAAATGCCACAACCCAAGTTCAGATCATCACTTTATAAGCTGCCATGTCCTCACATCACCTGTCAGCTGCCAGGTCACCTCCTGATTCACGGAGAACCCTTGGCTCACTGGCTTCCTCCTCATCACCCTCACGGTGACTTCGCTGTGACATCACCTGACAGCCCTCGGCCCCTCAACCTTGCCACCCCCAGGAGCTCCTCTCCCCTACCCCTACCACCATTCCTGGGGTCACACCATAACCACAAATCTCGGCTTCCAAATCTCCTGCAAGCACTGTACCCCTCCTGCAGCTGACTTCACCCACTCTCCATTCCTCCACCCGCTGAGCCACATGGGGGCACTGGCCCACTGCCCCTCCTGCTGCGCTTGCTGGGGTCCCCATGGCCGGGTGGCACCAGCTGTCCACTCACGTCAGGTCTACACCAACACCTAAGTGTCACTGGGAAACACACACCATGCTGATTGGCCTCACTTGAACTTCACAATCACAGCTGTCCAGCCCACAAACTGCCTAGAAAGTGCTGACACTTTGAAATAACTCTTTCCAAAGGCCCTTCTCTCACACTTTGCCCCAGCCCTCTCCCAGATTGTGTCTATGGGGTCCATGTCTGTCTTCCAGTGGCAGGCGCCATCATGGTATCCCTCTACTTACTCTGCAGTGGTTTTCCTGAATGCTTAAGTGCCAAACTGAGCCCCGGCCACAAACAGCCCTCACCTCTTGGCCTCCTTCCACAGCATTGCCTCCCCTCCGCCCTCAGGCCTTTTCCTCTGCCTTTGCTTTCTTTTTTTTGAGACGGAGTTTCGCTCGTTACCCAGGCTGGAGTGCAATGGCGCGATCTCGGCTCACCGCAACCTCCACCTCCTGGGTTCAGGCAATTCTCCTGCCTCAGCCTCCTGAGTAGCTGGGATTACAGGCACGCACCACTGTGCCCAGCTAATTTTTTTTATTTTTTATTTTTAGTACAGATGGGGTTTCACCATGTTGACCCAGGATGGTCTCAATCTCGACCTAGTGATCCACCCGCCTCGGCCTCCCAATTCCTCTGCTCTTGAACATACCAAACATGTTTCTGCCCCTGGGCCTGCACGTGTGCCATCCTGTGCAAATGCATCCCCACTCATGCTTTGCCCGCCCCCATACTCAGCTTCTGCTGTTTTGAGACAGTCTTGCTGTCACCCAGGCTGGAGTACAGTGACACGATCTTGGCTCACTGCAACCACTCCCCGGGTTCAAACCATTCTTGTGCCTCAGCCTCCTGAGTAGCTGGGATTATAGGCAGGTACCACCACACCCAGCTTTCTGGTCTTTATCTAGTAGAGACAGGGTTTCACCAATTTGCCCAGGCTGGTCTTGAACCCCTGGCCTCAAGTGAACCACCTTCCTTGGCCTCTCAAAATGTTGGGATTACAGGCGTGAGCCACTTCAGCTTACATTGTTAATTACTCAGAAAGGCCTTCAATGACCAGCTAAATCCGCAACAGCTCCTCTAGTCGCTCATTACGTTTTACCAAAACGTGTTGTGAGCTGGCATTTCACTGAGTGCTATATTCAATGCCTGTCTCTTCACTGCCATAGCAGAAGGTCCCTAACACAGGCTGTGCAGGCACAGCTCTCTGAAGAGAGCCCGAGCCCATGCCTCTCCTTACCTCCAAACACAGGTTTGCTCTCAGGCGTGCTGCCCACATTGAAGGCGAATGGTGTGCTCTGGCTGCTGGTGCCCAGGGCATTTTGACCTAGGCCCCCCGCAAAGGGGGTGGGGGT